ATGAGAGAGGAGACCATTTCTACGGAATGGACAGGGATTTCCTGGGCACACGGCTGCTGCTTGGATTGTATTTAGATGTAGTAGAAGAGTTTTGATAGGTATGTGTGATGAAAGGGTGGGTCGGGATAATTGGGGCGTAGAAAAAGGAACCCTCTGGGTATGCTGTCCAAGTACAGGAGGAATAACAATGCTTGACCTGTTCTGAGACTATGTCGTACTTCTGAAGAATTACACTGTATAATATTTCTGAGATTGTAGTTTGTCAAAGCCCAGGGAAGATTCACTACTGAGAATTCTTCATACACCTGAAGGTTTGGACCGTGACCTTAGATAAGTTAATGTCTTCTTATTTTTAGTCCTGTCATTGTACTTTAGTCTTCAAAACTTTTAGTTATTTTGAAAGAAATAATAGCTGAAATATTTTGTGAAGGAATGATACACTGAAACCTTAAAAAAAAAAAAAAAAAAACTGGGGGCGCCTGGGTGGCTCAGTCGGTTAAGCGGCCGACTTCGGCTCAGGTCACGATCTCACGGTCCGTGAGTTCGAGCCCCGCGTCGGGCTCTGTGCTGACAGCTCAGAGCCTGGAGCCTGTTTCAGATTCTGTGTCTCCCTCTCTCTGACCCTCCCCTGTTCATGCTGTCTCTCCCTGTCTCAAAACTAAATAAACGTTAAAAAAAAAAACTGGAACTCTCAACTGCCAGGTATTTTTTTTTTAAGTTTATTTATTTATTTTGAGAGAGAGAGAGAGAGAGCACAAGGGGGTGGGGGGGGGGGGGGCAAAAAAAAAGGGAGAGACAGAGAATCCCAAGCAGGTTCTCCGTTTGTCTGCGCAGAACTGGACTTGACGCTCAAACCCATGAACTGCAAGATCATGACCTGAGCAGAAACGAAGAGTTGGATCCTTAATCCACTGAGCCACCCAAGTGCCCCTCAACTGCCAGGTATTTGTAAGAGCAGCCAGTAAATTGAGATAGGAAGTCAGGAGTAAGCAGTTGTTGTTGCCTGACTGGCCAAGGTGGAAATGCTGAGGAAAGAGCTCCCAAGAGAGGGATACTCAGGGCGGGGGTGCGCAGTGTTGTTCACACGCAGGTGCGGTGGAGGGTAGGAAGCCCACTCTTTTTTTTTTTTTTTTTTTTTTTTTACATTTTATTTATTTTTGAGAAACAGAGTGAGACAAAGCATAAGCAGGGGAGGGGCAGAGAGGGAAGGAGACACAGAATCTGAAGCAGGCTCCAGGCTCTGAGCAAGCAGTCAGCACAGAGCCCGACGCGGGGCTTGAACCCACAAACTGTGAGATCATGACCTGAGCCGAAGTCGGACGCTCAACCAACTGAGCCACCCAGGCGCCCCTGAAGCCCACTCTTCTTATGACGTCCAGAGACTGACCGTGAGAGGGGAGACGACTTGTTTCCATGTTAGTCTAGAAAAGGGTGCTTTCAAGAATTTTAATGCAAGTGTATAAGAGATTACATCTAAAATATAATTATTCAGACTCTTTGCCATTTCCCGTGGAAATGTAGTGTTGTGAGCTTTCTGTCAGTGACTTCCTCTATCCACACTTAAATCAGAGTACTTTAGCTGTGACTTTAATAAACAGACCTAAGTTTAATCAGTTAACCTACCTCTGGTTTTTCACCCTTGTTAATGCTATCTCTAATTTTCTTTTTTTTTTTTTAATTTTTTTAATGTTTTATTTATTTTTGAGACAGAGAGAGAGACAGAGCATGAGCAGGGGAGGGGCAGAGAGAGGGAGACACAGAATCGGAAGCAGGCTCCAGGCTCTGCTGGAGCACAGAGCCCGATGCGGGGCTCAAACTCACGAGCTGTGAGATCATGACCTGAGCCGAAGTCGGATACTCAACCGACTGAGCCACCCAGGCGCCCGTCTCTAATTTTCTAAAATCAATCTCCCAAAAGAACAACCAATTTTACAAATCGTTCAGAAACTGAATGAAAAGTTTCTTTTCTGCTACTCCTTTTCTCCATTTCCTCCTTTCCCATTCTAGGCAAAAATAGTAGTTTACTATTTCCTACTCCACTTCTTAATCTTGTTAATCTTAATCTTCTTAATAGTTTACATGGAGGAAAAAAATGAAATAGCGTGAAAGGATAAAAATACTATGAAACAGTTAAAAAGATGACTATACAGTAAAAAGTAAGTTTCCCTCCTACCTCTGACTCCCTTCAACGCCTCACCTACCATTTTTCCTCCACAGAGTGACAACTACTTGGAGAGATTCACTTAAAAACCAAGCAAAAGTTGGTAACTAGAAAATACGATTGTCATTGAGCTGTAAGTGATAAAGCAGTTCATGAACATAAGCCATTTTTAGAGTACAATCATTTTGTTTTTCTTGGTAAAACATTTTAGAAACGGGCTCACTTAAAGTTGTCAAAGCTAGAAACAGTTGGATAACTTCTTCTGGAAGACAGTTTGATGTGTTTAGGGGTACTTTATTTTATTTATTTGTTAACCACGTTCTGGTCTCGCAGATGAGGAATATTAGTGTTTCAGTAGAACAGCTTTGGAATTAGATCAGGATTTGAACTCTGGTAATGCCAACTCCTAGCTCATAATCTTGGCCATTCTTCTAATTTCTCTGACTCTTGAGTTCCTCATCTGAAAAACGAGCATAGTAATAGCTACTTCTCAGGATGGTTGTACGGGCTGATGGTAAGGAAATGAAAATGAGTTTTGCCCAATAAACATTAATTTTGTTTTCTGTCAGTGTTGTTAATGCAACCTGAAGACATCGTTAAATGGGACTATATGGGGGGAAAGATTTTAGGTAAATTTGACCACGGCATTTTCTATTTCTATAACATAAACAACACAGTTGATCGTTTTTACTTAGGAAATCCCAAACGTAGATAAAGTTTGTTTAAAGCAAGAAGCATTTGTGACCTAGAGTAAAGTTTTAAGAGCAGCTAGCTAATGGGGAAAGAGCACTCAACTCGGCACTGTTGACATTCGGGGCCAGATAATGGGGAGGGGCAGGCTGTACTGTGTCTTTCAGAATGTTAAGCAGCATTCCTGTCTCTGCTGACTACATGCCAAGAGCACCCTCCCCGCAAGGTCGTGACAGCCAGAAGTATTCCCAGACCTTGCCAGATGTCCCCTGGGGGGCAGAGTCACCCCTGGTGGAAACTTTTGTTTTACAGCATAGCCTAAAAAGAACACATGTGGGATGGCTGCACATTTATAGAAGCATAATGGAAAAGAATAATTGATGTTATTACAGAGGCTAAAATAGGATACCTTTCATACCTGACACAAAAGATTGAAAATCAGCGAAAGAGAAGATATTTACAAGAAAGAGATTAAAAAACCTGGAAAAGGCTGTTTTCTCCATTGATTCGGTAATTTTACCCGAGGGGGAGGGGGGGCTAAATAGGAAAAACTATGTGGTTATTTATTTTAAAAATGCTACATTACTAGGATATGATTTATCCTACTTTATCCACATTTATCCTATGCTCTGAGCAGTCTGTAACTATAGTGCTGTGTGAGATGAATTTCCTTCTAGAGCAGCCATACCCCCTGACCAAAGCAAGATCTTACAAAATCAAAAGTATTTTAGGGGCGTCTGTCTGGTTCACTTGGTGGAGCATGTGACTCTTGATCTCAGGGTGGTGAATTCAGGACCCAAGTTGGACTGCAGCCTACTTAAAAATAAACAAAGTATACAATATATTTTTAAAGCATTTTAGGAAAATATAACAAAAGCAGGTATTTATCAGAGCACTTTTAAATATGTTCATTTAATTGAAATTTGAATGTGTTTTCTGTAGTCTTTTTAAGACTCCTCGGTGGTCACAAACCGCCCTGTTATAATTGGGGAACGTAGGGTCATTGGGATGTGATTAGAGGGTGGGCTCTGGAGTGGGGCTGCCTGCATGTGTATGTCGTCTCTTCCATTTGCTGACTTGAACCTGAGGCAGATTATTTCATCTGAGCTAAACTTTAATTTCCTTTTCTGTGGTGGGGAGAAATTGTACCTACCCCATAGGCTTGCTCGGGGGATTCAGTGAGCTAATCCATTTACGGTATTTTGGCATATGGTTTGGCCCATTCAGTAAATGTTTGTGATTATTATCGTTTTTAATTTTAATTGAAATCTTTGTTGTATTGCTAGAGCTCGTAGGTTTCAGGTTAGTCTTGTCCAGCTCTAAAAATATATATGCAAATATACTTATAATTTATTTATTTTTTTAAGTGTTTATTTTTGAGAGAGAGAGAATGCGAGTGCTCACAGGGGAGGAGCTGAGAGAGAGAGAGAGAGAGAAAGAGAATCCCAAGCAGGCTCCGAGCTGAGCACAGAGCCTAACTTAGGGCTCAATCCCACAACCACAGCATCACTACCTGAGCTGATACCACAAGTCGGACACTTAACCCACTGAGCCACCCAGGCGCCCCATCATTTAGAATTTAGGATTTATTATCTCTGGTTGCCTAGTCCCAGGAATTGGCTTTAACCAAAAAGGACAGCATCTTCGAACAGTTTGGAGTTTGATTGCCGTGGGCACCTGGTGTCAATAACTGGGTAATTTGAAGGAAGTTAAGCATCTGTTTTCAGAAACTCGATTTAAGAAAAGAAACTCCAGTTGTCCATTTTTTAAATGTTCAACTGCTCTGCTCTCATCTGGAGGTTTCATCTGCACCTGTCATGATGGTCTTACTTGAAAGGACATCAAGTTGGACCCTAGAATCTCATTGGAGCAGTGCAAGGCCCTATGTGTATCTCCTCAATCATGTGCCCTAGTTTTCTCATTTCCTAGGAGCTGGTTTAAATTGCCCTGGTTTCTGTGCAGTTAGACACTCACCTTTTGTCTTTACCTACAAGCTTACATTGGGGAAGAGGAGGTCAAGGGGCCTAGAATTTCCCTGGAAAATTCTTGCATGTCTGTTCATGGCTCTTTAGACTTCACAGATAATCTCTTTTGAAGTGCCAAGACCCAAATACCAGACTAAAGGAAGTTGCTTGTTTTTTTGTTCTAGGCAGAAAAATTAATGAAACAGATTGGTGTGAAAAATGTGAAGCTTTCAGAATATGAAATGAGTATTGCAGCTCATCTCGTAGACCCTCTTAACATGCACGTACGTATCTTTAATCTTATTTAAGATCGTTTGGGTCTGGCATTTTGTGTCGGGTCCTGAAGACGGCCATATTTGATGATCCTCTAAGAGGAGTCACAGGATCTGGCATAGTTTTGTGCTCACAGATGTGACTGAGTACAGCAAAAGGATACGAGGCAAAATGAGCAAGACAAGGGGCCTGGAGTGAAGCCTGGAAGAAACCAAGCACAGGCTTCCAGGAGCTTTCTCCCAGTGAAGTCATACGGGCTTCACTTAATTCCTTCAGCAGCAGGTTGTGAGGACAAGTGTGAAGTGCCGTGTCCACGAGGGAAGCTCAGTAGAGACTCCCAGGATTTTAATTGGGACTGGTCATGTAGACCCCACATCCCAACATCTACCAAAATTCTAGACGTTCAGAGGGGAAACACGTTCCCCGTAAACCATTTTGTTTGCACAGCGAGGTGTTCTTATTAGGGAATGAAGGAATTCAAGCCCCCATACTGCAGCCAAAGGCCAGCCTTGCAGGTAGGCCTTTCTAAGGACAACAGTCTGAGGCCTGCCGTGTTAACCTTTTTTGGCACACACTTGTTTAGATAAACTTGTTCTTTTATATATTCACCTTTGTGGCATATAAAACGTACTGCTTTAAGTTATGTGGATATTTGATTTGGAGTTTAAATGTAGATTTTCGTAATAAGATACGGTAGGCAACACAAGATTCTGAATTCTAATTTTTTCCATTCATGGCCTTGGCAAATTGTTTCCTCTTTGAGTGTCAGTCCCCTCATGTGTAATCCAGGGAAGGTGTGATACCTGCTGTACCTACTTCAAAAGGATTATTGGAGGATCAGATTAATGTAATATATAAACTCTAAACTCCTATGTGAATATTTGATAACAGCAGGTATAAATAGGTTTTGTATGACAGATATAAATAAATAGAATAGAATAAGTATGGTATTCCTATCTCCAAATCTAGGAAATAAAAGTCTTCAATGTCTGTTAGTATTAGTATCTGTGTGCACAGAGATAGATACATGTCCCCAGAGTTAATCCTCCATTTCAATTTGATTTATAAATTTACAGTGGGACTTCTTGGCTCTGTGTTCACTTCTGAGTAAGGCTGTACTAACAGACTCTCTTTTTTGTTATAGTGGAAGTAGATGCTATTTTTTTTTTTTTTTTTTTTCAGATTTGGCTGTGGTTTTTCACCCTTTTTTTTTGTTTAAAGTTGTAGTGAAAGTAAATTTCTTGTAAATATGGCTTCTGACTCACCCCACCTTCAGCCTCTTTACTCTGCCAGGTTAGAGCAAGATTGATTTTTTTTCCCCCTAGGTTTTTTCCGTTTGTTTTTTTATCCCCTCCCCCCTTCACTCCGTCCCCATTTAAAAAAATTTTTTTTTTTTTTTTTTTTTTTTTTTTACATTTATTTATTTTTGAGAAACAGAGCACAAGCAGGGGAGGGGCAGGGAGAGAGGGAGACATACGATCCAAAGCAGGCTCCAGACTCTGAGCTGTTAGCATAGCGCCCGGTATGGGGCTCGAACCCATGAACCATGAGATCATGACCTGAGCCAGAGTCAGATGCTTAACCGACTGAGCCACCCAGGCACCCCCCATTCCCATTTTTGAAGTTGAGTCAGAAGGTTTTAAAATACACAAGCTGTGCTTATTTTGACAGTATATATCCCCTATTTACAAAGATGAAAGTTTTGTTTTGAAAGTTTTATTTTTGATTAATAAAATTCAGAAGTCCAGTGTTGCGTGAACCTATTTCCAACATGTCTACCTGTTGTGTTTGACGGCACCCTATATGAATTAGGGACACTGCTGGTAAGCTTTTCCCCATCAGCTAGCACTGAGTTCTCTGTCTGAGCTGGTTCTCCATCTTCTTGGCAGAGTATTCCTTCCTCTTACACGGAGTGAATTCAGCTTATTAGATCCCTGTAGAGTTTTGAGTCCTGGGCCTAGTGCTTTTAATAGTAGATAGTTGATTATTAATTCCTTTTTGTAATTTCATGGTAATTAAATAATTTCAGTATTGCTGTAAAAAGTCTTTACTAGTATTATATATTAATCTTTTATTATTTACATATAATTATCAGATTAAGGTTTGCCATTTTGGTTTTTTTTTTCCTTTTAACTTCATTGCATATATGTAAGTTGTAAAATTCATGTTGACCTTACCTTTTATCAGGTTACTTGGAGTGATATAGCAGGTCTGGATGATGTCATTACGGATCTGAAAGACACAGTCATCTTACCCATCAAAAAGAAGCATTTGTTTGAAAATTCCAGGCTTCTGCAGCCTCCAAAGGGTATGGTAAAAGTTTACATTTGCTAAAGTATTAAAAATGTAGGAAACATTGAAACTTTCTGCCATTATAGAACTGGTATCGCTGAGGTCGGATGTTGAAGAGAATACTGAGATCCAGTGAGCTGTTTTATAAATAGTAGTTTTAAAATAATTGCTCATTCTTCAGCTTCCCAAATTTAGGTAAAACTTTTTCCCTGTGATTACATGTCAAAATAATCCCTTTATTGCAAACTCATTTTTATTACTTCCAAGTAAATAAAAATTGGGAAAATTGAAATTAAAAAATCTAAAGTCATGGTATGGGTTCTTTTGTTTTCAAAGTAAGAACTCTTTTTGTTGTCTCATAATTTAGCAATATTGTTTTTTCCTCCTAGTAATCTTCATTATTTTTGGATTGCAGTGTTTTTTTAGAAGTAGTACTGGAGTACAGGTGAACTAGAAATTAAATGCTACTTATTTTTTAAGGGAAACTTCCTTATTCCTAATTAGCGATGATTTTAAAAACCTCAGAACTCAAGAATTGGAAATGCTTATAACTCCTTCCTTACGTGTAATGCTTTTATTGTTGTCCACTCAAATATGAATCACGTTTAAACGTATTATGAAAGGTGATTCAGATGGAGCTTCGGTGACAGTTGGCAGTGAGATAAATACACGTGTGTTACCGTGGCTATCCCATACAAACGCTACAGCAGTGGAAAGAGTGGAAACTGCTCTTTCTTGTATTCCTCATACTAGACAGGTTTACTTTTCCGCTGCTCTTCAAGGCTGAAACCAAATTATTAGACACATCACAAAAAAAAGATCTTTAGAAATATCAACATAGTGCTGTGTGTAAGTTATGGTTGCTTGTAATCTTATTAATTTTGCAGTTATATCAAAATGCATCAATTTACATTTCAAAAGTAATTGAAGCCGATACCTGTACACTTTCACAAAGTAGGTAATTTTTACTCCTGGTAAATAGAGGGTGATGATGACGTGTTCTTTTCATTAACTAAAACAGCAAAACTGTTCATTAGGTATTTTGTTTTATTTTCTGAAACAACAATACTTCCTTTTTTCCCCCCTAGCAAAAAGCATTTGGTTTATTGTGTTTTTAAAAATTTTTTCCCCAGAAGAAAATTGCAGATGATTTATCTGAGCCAAGATCAAAGAGTAAAGTACAAGTTGGCTTATTTAGTTCTTTACCCTCTTCCGGCTGGTTGGTAGTTTGAACAAGAAAGACCTTGTGTGAGTTGTCATCCCCTAGTTTCTTAATTCGTGAATCTAGAAAAGTCAGATGCAGGATGGGGCCCAGTTAGTACTTGGATGGGAGAAAAGTAAGATGCGTTTTCTGTGCTGTTCGGGAAAGCTCCAGCCCTCGTCAGTGACACCTAGCCCAGGTAATTGGGTCACTGTACCAGTCGCACTTGGTTTAAAGCCCCAGTCAATTAACACAGCAGACACCAAATTACAATGGGATACTTCAAAGTTACGTGTATATCTGGTGCTTCTTTGAAAGCATTGTCCAAAACTAGAAGTGGTTTCTGTGTGTATTTTAAAATTTTTAAGTTACCTGAGTAGCTCTTGATTGTGTGATCTAAAGTTATGCTGTTTGAGCCTTTTCAGCCTTGCATTTTTGGAAAGTTTTTTATCAGGAACAAAATTTGAAAAGCCATTGATTTACTTTTTGACCCTCAACATAAATTGGATGTTAGCAGACAGAAGCAGAGCGTAAAATCGGTTGGATACCGTAGTTTGTTCCATTTTTGAACTGGAAGTAGGTTACATAGGTTAGAGTCGTTGTTTTATTGCCAATTTTATGTTATCCCTGGACAGTTCGTTGCTGTCGGGGCTAAAAGTCCGCACTGCCTTAGAGACTACGCGAGGATGGTTTGAGAATGTCTTCCATAGTAGCACACGAGATCAGCCAATCACGTGAAGGTAGAAAGTTGGCAGCTGTCATGCCACCAAGTGGTCACAAGGACATGCCATAGAATGTTCATGGTTGCATTAAAAAAATAACCGTGTTGGGGCGCCTGGGTGGCGCAGTCGGTTGAGCGTCCGACTTCAGCCAGGTCACGATCTTGCGGTCCGTGAGTTCGAGCCCCGCGTCAGGCTCTGGGCTGATGGCTCGGAGCCTGGAGCCTGTTTCCGATTCTGTGTCTCCCTCTCTCTCTGCCCTTCCCCCGTTCATGCTCTGTCTCTCTCTGTCCCAAAAATAAAAATAAACGTTGAAAAAAAAAATTAAAAAAAAAAAAAATAACCGTGCTTTCTTCCAAATGTTTAAAAATTTACATTGAGAATTCCATATGAATACAAACAGTTCTCGCTAAACTCTAACTTCGGTAATCATTATTTTAGCACATAAATTTTATGTTTGTGAATTTTATCATGTTCCATGTTGTGATGTTTCTTGAAAATGTAGGTAACTTAGGAAAAATATATTTTGAGAAGTGATTTTTCTGGGGCCATAAAAGCCTCCATCCCTCCCTCCACCTCCTTGAGTACTTTGTATTTAAATAGACTCAGTTTTTACAGATACTTACTTTTCCACCATTTGGACAATTTTTTTTATTAAAGCTTGAAAGTCAATAAACTAGTTCAAAAAAGAAAAAAGTTGGTTACTGATAAGGTAATATACTTGTCACGAATAAGGATTATTTCAAATTTAGATCTTTTGTCCCAATTCTTCTTTTCTTCCTCACCCTAAAGTTTTTATTTGCACGTAGTACTTACGAAGTAAAGCCCTTACTAAAACATCCACATTAAAGAGGGGTTTGAATTTTTAGCCTCTGCAAAGCATGAAGGTAATAATCGTAGTTTTTCGTTTTGTTGAAAATGGTTGTGAAAGTACCAGACTGAGCTCAAAAAAAACTAGTTAAAAGACTGCAAAACTAATAACTGAAGCCGGATGCCTCGCATTCATTGTGGGACCATTCATGTATCACTCTTCCTAAGAATGAACAGGGTAGTGTTCATCCCACAAAGGATATAGAGAAGATGGCCCTTCAAACAGTGTTACTGCTAGACTCATTGATAATATGCCAGGTGAGACAACGTGAGTCTTAGTGAAGCAACGTGCAGAAGTGGGGATAAAACAGCCAAGTGGGTGACTGGAAAGCTGACACTTCCATAGCTACCACCCAAGTCAGGAAGTGAACACTCCCTGCTCATACGTGCACCTCCCCTATCATGTCTGTCCTCCAGAAGATTATGAAATCCCAAAGCTTTCAACGCATGTTGAGTTTCATACCCTGTAAACAAAACAAAACTGTAAAAAAGCTGCCTAATTAATAACACTAATTGTAATTCCAGAAGAAAAATATAGGAAAAACTTAATCCTGCTAAGGAGTGCCAAAACTAAACTGTCAGGAATAGAGGACTCAAAGTGATGAATGAATACTTGGAATCAAAGAGGACATTCTAAGAACACTTGCCTCGGTTTGTGAGGCGTGCTGTAGCAGCACAGTCAACAAGATACAAGGACTTTTGCATCAGAAGTTTGCTCAGAAAACCCTAAGATTCAAATAACATGCATATAAAAGTTTGTGGATCTGCATTCCATATTAAATTGTATGATCAAAATAATAAATGTTGTAATAATTCCAGGCATCTGCAGTCACCCCGTATGTTTTCAGTTTGATGTGAATTAAATGGCATTAGACCACTACTCTGTGGTGTTCACATGTGCCATCCAAAGGAAGAAGTATCGATAGGGGGTTGAAATTATAAATGACTTAACTACATTTTTTACACCTGAATGGACTTAGTTAAAAATTGCAAAGGGATGTACTGGCAAAGCTTATTGACTTAAATTTTAAAATGGCTTCAGAAAAGTAAGATGACTAAACTTCATTAATTCTTAAAGAATTATGAAGACCCCTAGAAAAATCTGTGCATGCCCGAGGAAAAGTTTGTGTGCCTGAACATTACTTTGAAGAGCTTGATGTGAAAAATATTTGTTTTATGGAATCAAGCTTCTCATTAAAAAGAAAAAAATGAAAATTTAGGCAGGGTGGGATTTTAATACAAAATATTTACTTTTCTTATATTTTTGTATTTTCTTAATGTTTATTATTCTTGAGAGAGAAACCGCGCGTGCATGTGAGCGGGGGAGGGGCAGAGAGAGAGGAAGACACGGAACTCCAAGCAGGCTCCAGAACTGAGCTGTCAGCACAGAGCCCAGGGTTCAGACCCATGAGCTGTGAGATCATGACCTGAGCCGAAGTCGGATGCATAACCGACTGAGCCACCCAGGCGCCCCTATATTTTATTTTTATTGCATAATAATATTTTGGAAATCTCCAAAGTCTCTTCATATTACCCTAATATGTCACCTGTAAATACTGTCTTTTTAAGTGCTGTGACATGGGAAAAGTAGAGAAGCTATGAATTAAGCAAATATTTTAAGTCTGCAGGTTATAATATTCGTCAGGCCCGTCTACAGATAATCTATAGCCAGGAACATAATTTTACTATTAACATAGAAAAATGTTACTTAATTTTGGTTGCTAAACAGTTGGTGATGATTCCCAAAATGCCCAAGGCCTCGACCAGTTTAGATCTCTCCTGTTAAAAGAATTACCTTAAGTTGTATTAAGCGGCAGACTGCTGTCTGTGGAGACGATAGGTGAAGGATTCAGTTTCATTCCTTGGAGAGTAAAACAAAAGTGACTGGCAGCTTTTGTCCTTTGGAAGAAGAGATCATTATCTGTTTGGAAAAAGGCGTGTGCCCTTTTGGATAAAACTTAAGTCTCAGTAACATCGAAACGGTGTTTGCTGCAGCCTGTTTTTGTTGTTTTTGTTTAATGTTCATTTTTGAGAAAGAGAAACAGAGCACAAGCGGGGGAGGGGCAGAGAGAGAGACGGAGACACGGAATCCAAAGCAAGCTCCAGGCTCTGAGCTGTCAGCACAGAGCCTGATGTGAGGCTTGAACTTATAAACCGTGAGATTGTGACCTGAGCTGAAGTTGGACACCCAACCGACTGAGCCACCCAGGTGCCCCTCCCGCAGCCTGGTTTGAAGAAGTTCTCAGTTTTCTCTGGGCTGTTCTAATGTGCTGTAGTGCTCTGTTAGCTTGTGAAGGTGGAGGGCATTGGACCATTTTGCCAACCATGGATCGAGTGGCGTGAGTTTGGATGTCAAGGGGATCCTGAGCTAGACCTTTGCGTGAAGGGAGAAGGCACAAGCATGCTGTAATTTTATAGCCGTCACTGACACTGAACTTAGGAAGTGGCGCCTTCCTTTCCTACCATTAACATGTTGGGGAAAATTTTAGTGTGGGCCGAATTAGTATGTTGATTATCACATAAAAAATGTAAATAATAAAATGACATGTTAATTTCCAGGAGTTCTTCTGTATGGGCCTCCAGGCTGTGGCAAAACATTGATTGCCAAGGCCACAGCCAAAGAAGCAGGCTGTCGATTTATTAACCTTCAGCCTTCAACGCTGACGGATAAGTGGTACGGAGAGTCTCAGAAACTGGCTGCTGCGGTCTTCTCCCTTGCCATAAAGCTACAGCCTTCCATCATTTTCATAGATGAAATAGGTATGCGACTTTTCTGTGTGAGCATTTTATAGCGCCATTTTTAAGGGTGGTATTTAGATGACCAGATTTAGTTTTCAACATTTATTAGGGCAAATTAGTAATACAAAAGAGATCACCAACATCCTTATATGCTGTGTATAATTTATTCCAGAATGAACCATAATCTGTTCATTCCGCTGCTCGGTAGTAGTTTCCTGTCTTCTCCGTATTACAAACATCACACGGTGGACATCTGTGTACGTGTTTCGTCATGTACATGTGCTTGTCCAGGCTACATGCCCAGAAGTTGAACTGTTAGGTTGTGTGACATGTCTGTCTTCAGCCGCACTAGGATTACCAGTTGTTAAAAGTGGTTTTACCTGTTTTCACTCTCTCAGTTATATAGTTTCCCTGCATGCCCCTAAAATTTATTTTTTCAGATATTATCATTGATTGATTGATTTTTTTTTTTTTTTTTTTTTTTGTCAAACTAAAGAACACGAATTATCATTGTTTCGTGTTTCCCTGCATTGCTAGTAAATTTGGGCATCTCTTACCATGTTGACTAGTCATTGAGTTTCCTTACTTATAAATTGTCAGTTTTTCTTTGGGGTTATTTGCATTTTCTTGGTAATTCTTTGTTGATATTTATTATGATTGCAAATATTTTCTAGACTGGCTTTTCACTTTATGATAATTTACAGAAATTTAAATTTAAATTTAGTTGTATATATCTTTTTATCATGATTTATACTTTTTTGTGTCTGGCTTACAAATTTCTTCCCTACCCCCATAAATATCCCTCTTTTCAAAATATATATTGTGAAGTAGGAATCTAATTTCATTCTTTTCCATATAGACAGCCAATTTATAAAATAGATTATCTTTCCCTGTTTGTTCATGACTTTTATGTTAGTATACTTTTTCTGTATTTTATGGATCATCAGTATTGTTGGTTCTGCTCCTGGTATGGTAAGTCATAATAAAGCTATGGTGATTGAAACTATAGCTTTGAATTAGTTATACTATTATATGTAATGTGATAGACTATACAGAAATGTAGAGAGAAAAATGGTATAGATATATAATACTTTGGTTACTTGTCTGTCTTGTGTGTCTCATCAGTTTATTACAGCTATTTTGGAGTTTTGGTGTGAATTTTGCATAAAAGTGCTTATAGCTAGATTTAAAAAAAAATTAAAAAAATTTTTTTTCAACATTTATTTATTTTTGGGACAGAGCGAGACAGAGCATGAACGGGGGAGGGGCAGAGAGAGAGGGAGACACAGAATCGGAAACAGGCTCCAGGCTCTGAGCCATCAGCCCAGAGCCCGACGCGGGGCTCGAACTCACGGACCGCGAGATCGTGACCTGGCTGAAGTCGGACGCTTAACCGACTGCGCCACCCAGGCGCCCCTAAAAAAATTTTAATCTAAGACACTTTAACCAGGAGGTGTGGTCAGTCTACCTTTATTTTGATAGCTCATGTATTTAGATTTATTTCTGCCACATTACGTGTGCTTTTTTATTTACCAATCTAGTGGACTTTTCTCACTTTATCCCCTTTTCCCTGCTACAGGTTTAGAAGTAACATATTCTTTTTCTTTAGTGAAACATTTAGAATACCTACTTGCCCTGAAAGTCTAGGCTAATCATTTCTGCCCTCCTCCCAAATAATTCCAGGGACCTTAGAACTCTTGAACACTAATCGTTCCACTCATTCCTTACATGTTAACATTTTCTCTTATTTTACAGTCTCCATAGTGGTTGTTATTTCTGTACTGGCAGTACTTGTTTAGAGACCACGTCTGCCAGTTTCTTTGCTCACTGTTGCTTCTTTACAAAGCTGCCTTTTCTGGATTTAATTCCCTTCACTGAAGTCTATCAAAGTTCTTTCAGCAAAGATCATGAATACAGTAAATTCTGTCTTTGGGTGAAAATGTGTTAATTCTACCTTCACTCTTAAATGATAACAGAATTATTTTTCTTCAGCATTTTGAAGCTACAAGTCCATTGTCTTCCAGTCTTTCTTGTTGCTTTCAAGAATTCTGCTTATAGTCAAATATTGCTTTGTAAGTAATTTTATCTTTTCTCTCTAGTGTTATTAGATTTTTATCTTGTTCTGCTGTTTGATTATGGTTTTTCCAGGTCTGTATTTATTTTTATTATCCCACTGAGACTTACTGTGGTTCTTAATCTGATGATTCGTGGTTTTCATTCCAGAAAATTTCTCAGCCACTGCGTATCTTTGATTGTGGCGAGACTTCCATTTTATGTATGTATATATTTATATTTATACATGTATCTACCCTCTCTACTTAATTTTGAGTCATTGCCGCATCGAGTTCTCCCATATTTCATCAGTTCTAAAATATACCATTTTGTTATTTACACTTTAACCTTTCTGAAGTTGGGGTAACATGTTATAATTTAATTGGCAGAGTTTTTTGAGTATTATAACTTACTTGGCAACATTTAAAACTTTGTTGATACATAAAATAATGATACAACTAAAACATCAATCTTTAAGTTTTAAAAAGCAGTTCTTTGCTTGGCTATGTTAACCGCACAGCCATTGGGTTTGTATTCTGTTGATTGCATTTGAACTTTAGAAGTTCTTTTTGGTTCTTTTTTAAATTTCCCTTTTTTCACTATAGTTGCTTTTCTGTTTGAATTTCAGTCCCTTTTATGTCTTGGTTTTTTTTGTTTTTGTTTTTGTTTTTTAAGTTATTTATCTTGGGAGAGACAGAGACACCATGAGTGGGGGAGGGTCAGAGAGAGAGGAAAGAGAGAATCCCAAGCAGGCTGTGCTGTCAGTAGGGCTCAAACCCACAAACCCTGAGATCACGACCTGAGCCAAAACCAAGAGTTGGACGCTTAACCCAACTGAGCCACCCAGGCACCACCCCCTCTTATGTCTCAGTTTTAAGCATACTGTTTTTATATATAGTTTTTTTGGATTGTTCTGTTGTCTGAAATTCTACTTCTCCTTTGTATTGTTAAGTGTTTCATACTAACTTGTTTCCTTGGCTCATTTCTAACGTTAGATAGCCTACAGCTTGTTTTTATAGGAGAATTCTGTGTTGCCTAAGACCAGTCAGAGTGCTTTTCCTACCTTCCACTTAGAGCCTGTGTGTGGAGTCTGATCATTCAGGGCTAATTTTTGTGATAATTTCTCAGTGTGGATGTTCCTAGACTGAATGACAGCACAAATCCAGTCTTCGTGCCTGAGGGAGAGCCTCTGTGACCTTAGTTTTTTTATTTTTCAGGGGAGACCTGTTTACCCCCAGAGCACAGACAAGACAGACTTGGTCTTTAACTCCCTGTAGTAGTGAGCAGGATTTTTTTTCTTGTCTACACTTTCTGTGAGCGTACATCCTTTTGAGCAGCTTGGTTTCAGCGTGGACATGAACGCCGAGGCGGTACACGCCTCCCTGCCGTGTCCACAAGTGCACGTGTCCACGGTTGGCACAGACACCTCATGCTCCCACCACATATTTCCTGAATTCTGACGGTTGTTTTTTTCTCTTTCTTACAATCTCAGATATTCGTTAAGCTGTTGTTTTTTTTTTTAAACTGGGCTCTGTTATTTAGAACCATTTTAAGTTTACAGAAAGCAGAACGTAGAAAGTTCCCATACACACATCCCCTACACACACAGTTTTCCTATTATCAGTACTTTGCATTCGTGTGGTACATTTGTTATAATTGATGAGCCTGTATTGCTACATTATTAATCACTAAAGTCCGTAGTTTATATTAAGGGTCATTCTTTGTGTTTATAGGCTTTGACTAATGCATAATGTCCTGTATCTACCATTACTGTATCAGAATAGTTTCACTGCTCTGAAAACCCCCTGTGCCCCACCTGTTCATCCTAAACTCCCAAAGTCCCAGCAGCCACTAGTCTTTTTACTATCTTGCCTTTTACAGAATATTGTAATTGGAATCATACAGCATGTAGCCTTTTCAGACTGGCTTCTTTCACTTAGCAATATGCATTTAAGGCTCCTCCGTGTCTTTGTGGCTTAGTAGCTCATTTCTTTTTATGGCTGAGTAATATTCCATTGTGTGGTTGTACAACGGTTTGTTTATCCATTCATCTGTTGAGGGACATCTTGGTTGCTTCCAATTTGGGGCGATTGTGAATAAAGCTGCTAACAACAGTGATGTGCAAGATTTTGCGTGGACATACATTTTCAGCTCAATTGGGTAAATGCCTGGGAGCACGTTTGCTGGATCCTACAGTGAAACTCTAGCTTTGTAAGAAACCACCAAACTGGCTTCCAAGATGGCTCTGTGATTTTGCAGTTCCACTGGCAATGAATGAGCGGTCCTCTTGCTCAGCATCCTGTCCATCACTTGATATAATCAGTGTTTTGGAATTTAGCTATCCTAGCAAGCATGTAGCGAGCGGTATCTCATTGTCATTTAAAGTTACAGTTCCCTAACGACATATGACGTTGAGCATCTTTTCATGTGTTTATTTGCCATCTGTGTATCTTTGAAGTGTGTGTTCAGCTCTTTGGCCCATTTTTTAATTGGGTTGTTTTCTTATTATTTAATTTTATGCTCTTTGTATATTTTGGATACACACTTTTTATCAGGGAAGTAGTTTGAAAATCTTTTGTCCTAGTCTGTGGCTTATATCTACTCTTTCTCTTCTCTCTCTCTGTCTCTCTCTCTCGCTGTCTCTTTTTTTAAATGTTTATTTTTGAGACAGAGCATGAGTGGGGGAGGGGCATAGAGAGAGCGCCACAGAATTCAAGGCAGGCTCCAGGCTCTGAGCTGTCAGCACAGGGCCTGACCCACAGCTGGAACCCACAAACCATGAGATCATGACCTGAGCAGAAGTCAGATGCTCAACCAACTGAGCCTCCCAGGCGCCCTGGCTTATCTCTTCTCTTACCAGTGTCTTCCACAGGGAAGAATTTTTAATTTTGTTTTTCTTTATTGAGCATTTAAAACATTTTTTTTAGCTTGTTTTATTTTTTATTTTTTTATTTATTTTTTTTTTTTAATTTTTTTTTCAACGTTTATTTATTTTTGGGACAGAGAGAGACAGAGCATGAACGGGGGAGGGGCAGAGAGAGAGGGAGACACAGAATAGGAAACAGGCTCCAGGCTCTGAGCCATCAGCCCAGAGCCCGACGCGGGGCTCGAACTCATGGACCGCAAGATCGTGACCTGGCTGAAGTCGGACGCTTAACCGACTGCGCCACCCAGGCGCCCCTATTTTTTATTTTTTTAAATTTACATCAAAATTAGCATCTAGTGCAACAATGATTTCAGGAGGAGATTCCTTAGTGCCCCTTACCCATTTAGCCCATCCCCCCTCCCACAACCCCTCCAGTAACCCTCAGTTTGTTCTCCATATTTATGAGTCTCTTCTGTTTTGTCCCCCTCCCTGTTTTTATATTATTTTTGTTTCCCTTTCCTTATGTTCATCTGTTTTGTCTCTTAAAGTCCTCATAGGAGTGAAGTTATATGATATTTGTCTTTCTCTGACTAATTTAGCGTAATACCCTCCAGTTCCATCCATGTAGTTGCAAATGACAAGATTTCATTCTTTTTGATTGCTGAGTAATACTCCTTTGTGTGTGTGTGTGTGTGTGTGTGTGTGTGTGTGTGTGTGTGTGTGTATACCACATCTTCTTTATCCATTCATCCATCAATGGACATTTGGGCCCTTTCCATACTTTGGCTATTGTCAGTAGTGCTGCTATAAACATGGGGGTGCGTGTGTCCCTTCGAAACAGCACACCTGTATCCCTCGGATAAATACCTAGTAGTGCAATTGCTGGGTTGTAGGGTAGTTCTATTTTTAGTTTTTTGAGGAACCTCCATACTGTTTTCCAGAGGGGCTGCACCAGCTTGCATTCCCACCAGCAGTGCAAAAGAGATCCTCTCTCTCCGCATCCTCGCCAACATCCGTTGTTGCCTGAGTTGTTAATGTGAGCCATTCTGACAGGTGCCAGGTGGTATCTCATTGTAGTTTTGATTTGTATTTCCCTGATGATGAGTGATGTGGAGCATTTTTTCATGTGTCGGTTGGCCATCTGGATATCTTCTTTGGAGAAGTGTCTATTCATGTCTTTTGCCCATGTCTTCACTGGATTATTTGTTTTTTGGCTGTTGAGTTTGATAAGTTCTTTATAGATTTTGGATACTAACCCTTTATCTGATCTGTCATTTGCAAATACCTTCTCCCATTCTGTCAGTTGCCTTTTAGTTTTGCTGATTGTTTCCTTCGCTGTGCAGAAACTTTTATTTTGACGAGGTCCCAGTAGTTCATTTTTGAGCATTTTTAAATTTTAATAATGCCCAACTTAACTATTTTTTTTTGGATCGATTATGCTTTTGGTGTTGTATGTAAAAACTCATCACCAAACCCAAGGTCATGTAGATTTTCTCCTATGTTATCTTTGGACATTTTGCAGTTTTGTGTTTTACATTTAGATCTAGAATCAATTTTCAGTTAATTGTGCACCGTATAAGGTCTTTGTCTAGATAGATTTTTAGCACATGGATGTTCAGTTGTTCTAGCACCATTTGTCAGGTATGCATTAACTTTAAAAATATTTTTTTCCCAACTTTTTTGTTAATATTTACATATATGTCTTTTTCCATCCTTTGCAACATTCTGAGCTCTTAGATTTAAAGTGTCTCTTGTAAGCAGCACACATTTCGGTTTCCTAAGTGTCCAGTCTGATTTCCTAACCACCTATGTAGGTACTCTAAGACCATTTACATTTAACATTTTTTCTTTAATTTTTCTTCTATGTTTATTTACTTTTGAGAGAGAGAGAGAGAGAGACAGAGCGCAAGTAGGGACAGGGCAGAGAGAGAGGGAGACACAGGTTCCCAAGCAGGATCCAGGCTCACAGAGCCTGACGCAGGGCTTGAACCCATGAACTGTGAGATCATGACCTGAGCTGAAGTTGGACGCTTAACCGACTGGGCCACCCAGGCGCCCCTACATTTAACATTTGATGTAATTACTAATATAGTTAGGTTATTTATACTTCTCCAGCATTTTAAGTTTTTTTATATTATTTCAAGCAGCTGTCTTTCCAGAACCAACTTCTTAGTAATGAAGATGATTTAGGAATAATTGATAGCAGAATTATGGTGGTTAGCTGGCAGCTGTACTGACACATATTATCTTTAAAAAGAAGCAATTTAAAAATGACTACATTTTCTACCTCCAGAGTAGATGGGTTAGTTTGGTACCTAGTCCAACAGTGGGACGGATTGTATGAAACTGAAACTACAAAAGAAAATCCAGAATGTGTATTTGTCATCCGAAGACCCTGTAAAAAAAATTTTTTTAAGTTTGGACCAAACCATTTCTGTGTAACTCACACGTATGATTGTAGTTTCAGTGCTAAAATGCTAGTTATTTGAAGGGATAGAAGACAAAGCACTTGAAATAGGATTATACTAGAAAATCTAGGACTTATGACTGTCTTTTTTTCATAATTAGGAGGTACTGTTCCTTCTACCCCTCTTTAAAAGCATTTCATGTTCTTTGTAGATAATTGGGAAGACAGCAAATAGTTCAAGAGAACATTTAAATTGTCCTCAAGTCTATCACTGAGAGATAACTAAAGCAATTAGCGTTCTGGTGTATTTTCTTGCTGGCTTCTTTACATTGTGTCACGTATATGCACATGCCTACGAGCATGTGTGTTCGAAACCATTTTCTGTCCTGCATTTCCCACGGAATGGTGTTTTAACATTTTTCCAATGCCATTTTTCTTTATTTCCAGGAAAAGCATGTGAAGAAAAAGAGTGTGACCCACAATTAAGAATACATAGGATGCACATAACCTGGGATGTTAGGGCCAAAGCATACAGACCTTCCTCCAAGACACCACTTGATCCGTATCTTCTAATTACCCGATCCTGTACTTCTTTACATATGTTGGCATTAATGTATTGATAGGAAAGAATTGAAGATTGGGAGTTGATTGCGTTTTAATTTCTTAATTATTTGCCAAAATTGTTGTATCAGACCAATGTATGAAAAGGGATAGTTGAACTCTTTGTCTTGTACTCTTTCGCAGATTTGTTAGCTTTTGATTTTTTGGTTAATGATTTGAAGTTTTACGATGAGTAAATAATTCAAATTAGTTTCTAAGGTTGAGGACTTCTTCCTTCTAGACTCCTTTCTGCGAAACCGTTCAAGTTCTGACCATGAAGCTACCGCCATGATGAAAGCTCAGTTTATGAGTCTGTGGGACGGATTGGATACTGACCACAGCTGTCAGGTGTGTGAAAGAAATCTGCCTTGAGCCGGTGGTGGTGGTGGGTGCTGATGGGGGATGGGGGGCAGCAGTGGGTGCTGGTGGCAGTGGCGACGGGTGTGGGGGGTGGCGGTGGTAGTAGGAGGAAATTTAGTGGGCTACTTCTTAGGCTTTTTTAGAGAAGTTTTTTGTTGTTGTTGGTTCAGTCATTTGTTAGTAAAACTTTATCAATTCATTTAATAATTTATTTCATATTTCACTGATACAAAATGTTTAATACTTAGTTTTATGGGCCTAGAAAAAAAAATTTTTTAACTTTTTGGTTGGTTTTATTTATTTTTATTTATTTTTTATAATTTTATTATTTTTTTAATTTACATCCAAATGAGCATATTGTGCACCAGTGATATCAGGAGGAAATTCCTTAGTGCCCCTTACCCATTTAACCCATCCCCCCTCCCACGACCCCTCCAGTAACCCTTAGTTTGTTCTCCGTATTTAAGAGTCTCTTCTGTTTTGTCCCCCTCCCTGTTTCCCTTCCCTTATGTTCATCTGTTTTGTCTCTTAAAGTCCTCATAGGAGTGAAGTCCTATGATATTTTTCTTTCTCTGACTAATTTCACTAGGTATAATACCCTCCAGTTCCATCCACGTACCTGCAAATGGCAAGATTTCATTTTGATTGCCGAGTAATACTCCATTGTATATATATACACCACATTTTCTTTATCCAATTATCCATCGATGGCTCTTTTCATACTTTGGCTGTTGTTGATAGTGCTGCTATAAACATGGGGGTGCATGTGTCCCTTCGAAACAGCACACCTGTATCCGTGGAGAAATGCCTAGTTGTGCAATTGCTGGGTTGTAGGGTAGTTCTATTTTTAGTTTTTTGAGGAACCTCCATACTGTTTTCCAGAGGGGCTACACCAGCTTGCATTCCCACCAGCAGTGCAAAAGAGATCCTCTCTCTCCGCATCCTCGCCAACATCCGTTGTTGCCTGAGTTGTTAATGTGAGCCATTCTGACAGGTGCGAGGTGGTATCTCAGTGTGGTTTTGATTTGTATTTCCCTGATGATGAGTGATGTGGAGCATTTTTTCATGTGTCGGTTGGCCATCTGGATGTCTTCTTTGGAGAAGTGTCTATTCATGTCTTTTGCCCATGTCTTCACTGAATTATTTGTTTTTTGGGTGTTGAGTTTGATAAGTTCTTTATAGATTTTGGATACTAACCCTTTATCTGATCTGTCATTTGCAAATATCTTCTCCCATTCTGTCAGTGCCTTTTAGTTTTGCTGATTGTTTCCTTCGCTGTGCAGAAGCTTTTTATTTTGATGAGGTCCCAGTGGTTCATTTTTGCTTTTGTTTCCCTTGCCTCCGGAGACGTGTGTTGAGTAAGAAGTTGCTGTGGCTGAGGTCAAAGAGGTTTTTGCCTGTTTCCTCTTTGAGGATTTTGATGGCTTCCTGTCTTAGATTTAGGTCTTTCATCCATTTTGAGTTTGTTTTTGTGTATGGTGTAAGAAAGTGTCCGGATTCATTCTTCTGCATGTCGCTGTCCAGTTTTCTCAGCACCACTTGCTGAAGAGACTGTCTTTATTCCATTGGATATTCTTTCTTGCTTTGTCAAAGATGAGTTGGCCATACGTTTGTGCGTCCATTTCTAGGTTCTCTATTCTGTTCCATTGATCTGAGTGTCTGTTCTTGTGCCAGTACCATACTGTCTTGATGATGACAGCTTTGTAGTATAGCTTGAAGTCTGGAATTGTTATGCCTCCTGCTTTAGTTTTCTTTTTCAAGATTGCTTTGGCTATTCGAGGTCTTTTCTGGTTCCATACAAATTTTAGGATTATTTGTTCTAGCTCTCTGAAGAATGCTGGTGTTACTTTGATAGGGATTGCATTGAATATGTAGATTGCTTTGGGTAGTATTGACATTTTAATAACATTTGTTCTTCCTATCCAGGAGCATGGAATCTTTTTCCATTGTTTGTGTGTCTTCAATTTCTTTCATAAGCCTTTTATGGTTTTCAGTGTATAGATTTTTCACGTCGTTGGTTAGATTTATTCCTAGGTATTTTATGGTTTTGGTGTAATTGTAAATGGGATCGATTCCTTGATTTCTCTTTCTGTTGCTTCATTGTTGGTTTATAGGAATGCAACCAATTTCTGTGCATTGATTTTATATCCTGCAACTTTGCTGAGTTCATGAATCAGTTCTAGTAGTTTTTTGGTGGAATCTTTTGGGTTTTCCATATAGAGTATCATGTCATCTGTGAAGAGTGAAAGTTTGACCTCCTTCTGGCCGATTCGGATGCCTTTTATTTCTTTGTGTTGTCTGATTCCAGAGGCTAAGACTTCCAATACTATGTTGAATAACAGTGGCGAGAGTGGGCATCCCTGTCTTGTTCCTGACCTTAGGGGGAAAGCTCTCAGTTTTTCCCCATTGAGGATGATATTAGCGTTGGGTCTTTCTTATATGGCTTTTATGATCTCGAGGTTGATCTTTCTATCCCTACTTTCTTGAGGGTTTTTATCAAGAAAGGATGCTGTATTTTGTCAAATGCTTTCTCTGCATCTATTGAGAGGATCATATGATTCTTGTCCTTTCTTTTTTTAAAACATTTTTTTTAATGTTCATTTTATTTTTGACAGAGAAAGACCGAGCATGAGTGGGGGAGGGGCAGAGAGAGAGGGAGACACAGAATCTGAAGCAGGCTCCAGGCTCTGAGCTGTCAGCACAGAGCCCGATGCGGGGCTCAAACTCACAGACTGTGAGATCATGACCTGAGCCAAAGTCAGACACTCAACTGACTGAGCCACCCAGGTGCCCCGGTTCTTGTCCTTTCTTTTATTGATGTGATGAATCATGTTAATTGTTTTGTGGATATTGAACTAGCCCCGCATCCCAGGTATAAATCCCACTTGGTCATGGTGAATAATTTTTTTGATGTATTGTTGGAGCCGGTTGGCTAATAATCTTGTTGAGGATTTTTACCTCCATGTTCATCAGGGAAGTCGGTCTATAGTTCTCCTTTTTTAGCGGGGTCTCTGTCTGGTTTTGGAGTCAAGGTAATGCTGGCTTCACGTTTGGTAGAATTCCCCTGGAAAGCCGTCTGGGCCTGGACTCTTGTTTTTTGGGAGATTTTTGATTACTAATTCTATTTCCTTACTGGTTATGGGTCTGTTCAAATTTTCTGTTTCTTCCTGTTTCACTGTTGGTAGCTTATATGATTCTAGGAATTTGTCCATTTCTTCCAGATTACCCATTTTATTGGCATATAATTCCTCATAATATTCTCTTATTACTGTTTTTATTTCTGCTGTGTTGATTGTGATCTCTCCTCTTTAATTTTTTATTTTATTTATTTAGGTACTTTCCTTTTCCTTTTTGATCCAACTGGCTAGTGGTTTATCAATTTTGTTAATTCTTTCAAAGAACCATCTTCTGGTTTTGTTGAGAAGTTCTTTGTTTTTGGTTTTGTTTTTGTTTTTAATAATTATTTATACTTACCATTAAGTGATGGGGATCTGAAAGAATAGTTTGTGTATACTTTTGGTCATTTTGAGGGTTTATGTTAAACACAATGTTAAAAGATTGCCTAAGTGCCTGAAACAAATCCTACAGAAAAGAGAAAACCAGGGTGAAGTCTCTCCTCTGAGGGAAAGGAAACAACTAGTGGCTGTGGCTACTCTGTGCATGTTTCGACCCTTTACCGTGAATCTTACACTCCCTCCTCTCAGTTCCTGTCCCCTTAGTTTCACTTTACTACTTTCATTAGCTGCTGGAACTCACACACTTTCCCACTTCCTGCCCCATGTACTTTCCTTAGGATCCCACTTTTATGAAAGTCTTTTATCCTACGCTTTGTCTCTGCGCCCTGTGGGCTCTGAAAACCAGAACCAAGGTCCCCTGGTATGGCCCCAAAGGGAAAGCCACCTGTCTTGTTCAATGTACCTCTTGAGGTTTCCATTTTCTCTTACTTCTTTGCCTCTGAATAATCCATACTTTCCTGCCAGAACAGTAATGTATTTTCATTAAAAGAAAAAAAAAAAACACAAAACACCTCACCCCGCATGTTTGTTTTTCTGCCACATTACTGGAAATGGCAGTTCGAGAACCAGAACTGAAAAACGCAGCCATTCTTCACGTATCATTTCCGTCCATTCCCCATGTGATCTTCCTGTGGGATGCCCGTTGGATGCTCCTGTTTACACTGCGCGCGTTTTAGCTCTCTTTCGTATTTTCTCTCTTTGTGCTACATTCTGAGAAATGTTTTTATTTTTTTTAGTTTAATTTGCCAATTCTAAGTTTAGTTGCATCTCTTCTGCTAGAGTTAACCTTTTTATTGAGCTTATTATTAGTTCACTTACATTTTTTAGTCCTAGAGATTCTTTTAGATCCTTCTTGAAGTCTGACGGGTCAGTTTTGATGGGCTCTGACCCATCAACTCATGTTTCCAGTTGGATTAGAGAACCAGAGTCCTGGCATCAACTAGCTGTGTGACCTTGATCAGATAATACAGTCACTTTGTATCTGAATGGACGGAGTACTGTCTATAAAAAAGGGAAGGATAGCATCCACTGCAAACTGTTGAATGGTTTTAAGGAAGTTAAGTGCTTATAACTTGCCTGGTATAACTTAGTACCAGTTAACAAGTATTTGCTATGTGATTTTTTTTTATTCCTTTAGATATGTTAACATACTAATTTTATAGTCTATTCAGCAGTTCTAACATATGACTATACATCTGGTTCTGTTCTTTTTTGACTTTATGTGGTTTTTGCTTGTGTGTTTTGTGATTTCATGGGAAAAGTCATATTTGGTAAAACTGTGTGCATAGATTTTTGGAACCTATGTTGAAGGTTTGTTGCTCCCAAGAGGATTTTTTTTGTCTTCTGCCAGATTTTTTTCAACACTAGGTAAATTCAGGTCTGAGATCCAGGTTAGCTGGTGAAGAACCATGAAATCGTAGGGATTTTGTGTGTGTGTGTGTTTATACATCTGACCAAGAACCAAATCTTGACTCTACTGACTGCGTTTTCTAATATTCACACTGTTTCAGGCCCTCCTACTTCATGAGTCCCAGCTTTATGTAGGGTGACCTCTTATCATTAAGCCTATAAGGTGTCCAGTGCAAGCCCCACTGCCTAAGATCTGTACATTTCTGTGTGGTACGTGGGCAGCTTCTACCCTCCCTTGCCTCCCTTATGTGTAGACTTCACTGTTGGCCTTATCTTAATTCCTTTATGTTTTTGCAGATTCGTTGATTGATTGAGTTTTTTTATACTTTATTATTTTTGTTTTATAGCCAGAGGGCTTAAGGATCTCCTACATCCACCACATTACCATAAATCAAAAATTAAAACACCATCCTTAAAGAGAATATTAAGCCACACGTCCCCCTTGTACATCAGCTTCATGAAAATATAATTTCATGATGAGGGAAAGTTGCCGTTAGTGTTTGGGTGATAGAAAACAAAGTATAACATCTGTAAATTTAGGTGACGGCAATAGAAACAATGTTGTTAGTAATTGGTGCTAATAACTCTGTTCAAAATGGGAATAGTTTACAGGTTTCCAAAAACTGATTATCCTCCTAAGCAACAGTATTGAAAACACTTAGACTACTGAATAGTTAGCCCATGTAAGAGAAAATCGTTTAATATTATTTCGTATCAGAGTGTCGTTTTAGAAGTCAAGAAAATAGCATTTGGATGAAGTGTTCTCCAGAGCCACACAGCGTGGTTCTGATACGAAACAACACTGAGTTTTCAGAACCGCCATTCTTTATTACACTGATGGTAATAATTTACTGTGTTCACTGTGATAAACCTTCATAGCAAATGAAGATGTCAATTTTTTATAAAGCTGACGAATTTTTCAACCTTTTTTGTGCGTTGAGGGGATTAAAATTGATGTTAACTTGAATATTAGTTTTAGGCATTTTCTTTCATATGAACGAGCCAGTCAGGCTTTCTCTAAAATTATCTATTCTGTGGTTACGGATCAAGCCCAGTACCCCAGCTTTTTCTTGTATGTGTGATATCCTACAGTGGAAACAGAGGTAGCCGAGTGGCCCAATCAGATCCACCACCCGCACTGGGGGTCCGGAGGTACCCGCCACCGGCACTGGGGGTCTGAGGTAGCCGCCACCCACACTGGGGGTCAGAGGTACCTGATGACATGTTCTTCATCTGCTCAGACATGAGACATACAAGTTAACTGTGTATGTAGGGTAGTTGCTGACGTAGGTAAAGGTTTCAGGCCTATTTTTAGATCTGATTATTTTAAATGTTAAATGATAAAGCATCACATGTTTTAAAGATTCTAAAAAGTCAACCAAAGCACTAATATTTCTGCTTAAATACTAAAACAGTACTGTTTCTTCCCATTTTGGATTTTTGCTCATTTGCACTAGAGTTAAGATGTGTATGTACAGTTGATCCGTTTTTGCCCCTTAAAATCACTGCTTGAAAGAGCTTCTTTAAGTTTGAATCACTTGCTTTTTCTTCATCCTGAGTACCTGTTATCATCCTGTATGTATCCATTAAACTGTGTTGTGCTGGATTTGTTTAGATTCCTTGATCCTAATTTTTAGCATCCCATCTGCCATACGGGATTTTGCTTTGTTTTTATTTTAGGTTGATGTGGTCAGTCTTCCACAAGCTTCCATATCACTTTGAATCTCTTCTAACACATAATGTGTACTGTATCTCAAAATGTTCTTCTACTCATACATTATCTTCTGCAATTAGTTCCTTTGATCACTTTTAGGACTTCTTTGTTTTACATTTGATGGAAATTTTACTTTACTAATTTTATAGGGTTGTGGAAAGTCTAATTTGAAAAATAGGTAAGAGCCTTAATATTTTGATCTTAGGACCACTTAATTTAAATACAAAATTGCATTATATTGTGGAACTAACATTTCTCAAATTTACCTTTGTATTTACATTTTTTCCCTCTAGGTGGCAACCTGCCAACAGTTAAATTGAAAATAATTTGTCTCTTGAATGTCATTAAATATAGAGTAGAAGTAGAATATAAGGTTTAATGGATCTTTCAGCATGTTCTGGAAGTTAGATTTCAGATTATTTCAGAAATTGAGAACCTCTTAGGCTGAAATAAAATTATATTAAAGAAAAGTTTCCATTAGAATACTGATAAATTTCATTTTGGGTAGCAGATGTGGGCTGTTATTGGGTTCTATAAAAAATACCAACAATAATGTTAATATTGAGGGCTTCCAGAAATTAACTTATTTTGGATATCTCTGTCTTTATTTGCGTTGATTTTTCATGTCTATATCCTTTATGAGTAAAGTGACATAGGCCCAGAGATTGGCAGGTCACCAGCATTTTCTTTTCTGTTTTTAAAAATTAATTATTTTTTCAGTAATCTCTACCCCCAACATGGGGCTCAGACTCACAACCCCAAGGTCAAGAGTCACACACACTACCGACTGAGCCAGCCAAGCACCTAATTCTTTTTTCTTTTTTAAATTCTGCCCAGCATTTATCTGATTAATTTTTGCCCTTGTTGAAAGTTTGATCACTTGAGGTTTTATTGTAGCATTGAGAAGACATCACCGGCAGGGCTGACAGTGCCGTGAGATAGTGGTGTGAAATCTAGAGGAAAAAGTACAAGATACCTGTTACCGTCACCAGAATCCTTAGACTCAGGGGAAATGATTTAATTTTAGTATCGAAGGACGTGAAGTGTCCCCTGTATAGACTCCCAAGCTGTAACCTAAATGGCTTTTAGTTATTCAGTGTGTAGCCACTGAGCAACCATATATTGCAAAATACTTTTTATTTTAAATCTTCATAATTCTTCAGTAACTAAACAGTATATTAGTTACTAAAATTCTGGTGAAATGCATCAGTCTTACACTTTTGCCATCATTGGATCCATTTAGGATTAACTTTGACTTGTATGTATAAATTTTTGAGTAATACTAGATTAAAGTCATTTTTTAAAGAAGATGTAAACACTCCTTATTTTTCCATAGCTTCTAAGCCCTAGTAGTAATATCCTAAAAGGTGCATTATCAGTGGATTTAATGCCTTGTGTTTTCTTTCTGTGCCCACCCAGGTCATAGTTATGGGGGCCACCAACCGTCCTCAGGACCTTGACTCGGCCATAATGAGAAGAATGCCTACAAGGTTTCATATCAACCAGCCTGTAAGTGCTTGTGATTGATGTTGTGCATTGTTAGAGACTCAGCTTTTTACAGGAAAGGAATGATTTGGTTTTTAATTTTTTTAATGTTTATTTTTTATTTTGGAGAGAGACAGAGTGCGAGTGGGAGAGGGGCAGAGAGAGAGGGAGACACAGACTCTTTAGTAGGCTCCAGGCTCCAGGCTCTGAGCTGTCAGCACTGAGCCTAACGCGGGGCTCGAACCCATGAACTGTGAGATCATGACCTGAGCTGAAGTGAAGCATTTGACTGGTCCACCCAGGCACCCCAGGAATGATCTTTTTTTTAATAGGATTGACTTACTATTTATGGCAGGCAGGAAAGGAATGGGGTAGGAGTCCCTATAATTATTTGTCCTTTCCACTCTGTCTTGCTTTTTTTCTTCTTTCTTTCCTAAGATGAGTGTCATTTGCTTCCCTTCAGAGTCTATACTTACCTCGTGTGCTTAGCCACCTGTTTGATTTTCTTTAGAATGTAGCAAGTTGTCTGAGAAAGTACATAGAAAATTGAAATTATAATTTTGGTTTGGCACAGGATAAAATTAGGAGGGATGGGGTTAAAGAATTGTTCTGTTCAAGGGGCGCCTGGGTGGCGCAGTCGGTTGAGCGTCCGACTTCAGCCAGGTCACGATCTCGCGGTCCGTGAGTTCGAGCCCCGCGTCGGGCTCTGGGCTGATGGCTCGGAGCCTGGAGCCTGTTTCCGATTTTGTGTCTCCCTCTCTCTCTGCCCCTCCCCCATTCATGCTCTGTCTCTCTCTATCCCAAAAATAAATAAATGTTGAAAAAAAAAAATTAAAAAAAAAAAAAAAAAAAAGAATTGTTCTGTTCAGAAGGCTGACAAATCACTTCTCGGCCTTTTGGCTCAGATCAAGTGCAGAAGGCTGACAAGAACTGGATTTATCTGATTGATTATTGTCAATTGTAATCTGTGCTTCCCTTTAATAGGATTAATGATTAACCAGTGACTAAGATATTACACTTTAACTTAATGTAGATGTAAGTGTGTACTGGACCAGGACTGTCTTCTTTCTAGCATCCGTTTCTGTCAGTTAAGAAGTACCCTCGAGTAGGTGATTATAACTTGCTGGTACTCTACATAATTTTTGCACAGAATCCTCAAATCGTGAATTTTGGGTGCCTTTCGATGGAAGAGGGAAAAAACAGGGTTGATCATTGAAAATGCGCACCATACAGTCAGTCCGCGTGTTACATGTATGGCTATGTAGAGGAATTTTTAGTGTCAATCCTTTCAAATTTTGAAATAAAAGATTATAATACCCCTGAGAGTCTCTGGCTAAAAAACATCTGTCCCACTGTGTATTCCGCAACTTACCAGTTTGTGGCAATAAACATGGTTTCCTAAAATTGAGGGTTGTGGCCTCTTACTCTGATCAGTTATTTGCTGTAGCTAAGACCTCGGCCTCTCTGAGAGAGAGAGCATGCTCAGAGTGAGCCACTCTTAGAAGATTTACCTGCTACAGCAATGGAGAAATTCACCTTGCTGAAATTCACACTAAATTTATTTAGTGTGACTAGCGTTGAGCACTGGTTTGTGTCAGGCACCCGCCAGACTCCGGGGAATGGAGCACGGCCCTTGTCCTCAGCTCTGGGTGGCACGGGAGGCAGACATGTAAATGAATGACATAAAAGATACTTACCAAAAGAATGTTTGAAGAACTGAGACCCTGAAATGATGCTGAAAGCCAATAATTCTGTCTGAGTAGTAGTAAGCTTTACAGAATCCAGGATGGCAGGAGTTTGATACGCAGGGGAGGCGAGGAAAGGCAAGAATGTGTGGAAGGCAATGTGTATTTGCTGAGACTCTGGGGGTAGTTCAGGCAGGGCGTCCGGGAAGCAGAGGGACCCGAGGCTGGAGAAGTAGGCTGCCGCCAGGTTTACGTGGCATTTGTCTGCCTTGCTTATGAATCGGGCTTTTGCATTGGCAAGACAGCAGGACGTTTTTAAAGAAAATTAATTTCCTTCCCTCGGCGGATCTGAAGACAAAGATTACGTTGATGGGATCTCTGTCTGGAGTCCGACAGGAAACAGGTTTTTGATACACAGTAGAATAGAACAAGGATGCAACAACTCAAAGGTAGCCTTTACTACAGTTCTCATTTTAACATATTAATTGTGTTAGTTACCAAAATGGGTTCTCAGACTTGTTACAAATTTGTATGCTGTTAATGTACAAACTGGGATTTTGTAACCCCCCCCCCCTTTTCATTCCATTTTTAGTGGATACGTATACTCTATAGGGTAATTTTCTTCTTATTGCAGAACTCTGATGTCGAAGTATCTGATTAACCTTACCTTAAAACTCTTCTCCAAATTAAGTGGTTATTCACAAAAAGTAGTCATTGGTCATCACATAACATACCAAATTTACCTTCATACTTAACCATCTTGAATTACGGGAACAGCAGGGTTCGGTTGTGTTTTTTCCGGTCACTTGATTTGATACTGGTGGTGACTAGCTGTGTCTTCAGTGGTTGTGAGAACAAGAATGAGTTCAGCCATAATACATTTTTAAAGCCTTTATATCCACTTTCTATGTAAGGTATCCTATCAGAATGCCTGTTCTGTGATATAACGTGAGCCATCATCGCTCGGGTGGAAAGTATATAAACACGTGTACCGCCAACGCCAAACAAAAACTGACTGATATAAATTAGCGAGTGAGGGAGTGGTGTGCAGACGTGGAGGAACTGAGCCTACATCGTTGCCATCCTGTCCAATTACGTAAATGAAGAAAAGAACATTTGCCAGAGCCGTAGAGGAAAGACATTGAAGGGCATGTTATTTCCCAGACATTGTGCTAATCGCTGGGGATTCAGAATAAGAAGACAGGAATTCAGTAGGTTGACCACAATTACTCTAGAGTCTAGAATCTAGACCTTGCTTAGCCAACATATTTTATGATTTTTGTTAGAGTTTCTGGCGTTTCCTGCAAGTATTGTCAGATTGTTTACAGAGGAAAGAAGAAATATCACGAAAACTAGTTGATCCTTATTTTTGTTAAATGCTAACTGGAAATGATTCTGGTTTTAGGCTCTAAAACAAAGAGAAGCAATCCTGAGACTCATCTTGAAAAATGAAAACGTAAGTAGAAAATGACATTTTCCCCCAACCTGTAAATATGTTTATGTTCATAAAACCGTTTTAGAAATGAAAAAGTAATTGGAGAATAAGCAGCTTTGTACTTGACATAAATCACTGTAAAACTGTTGGCCGTTCATGTAACGCATTAGCCATGGTCCATTTGAGCTAATTAAAGATGGTCTGCTTTTTTTAAAAGTGCTGTGTTTCATATCTTTGATATTTTTAGGCTGCTCTTCAGTTATATAAGATACATTTATTTTTGTACAGCAGTATGGGTTTTATTTATTTGATTACGATATTTTTTGAAGTTGCAGTTGAGATTTAAAAGGGTATGATAATCAAAATTTAAATGGGTTCTGTATTTAAGGTCACATCCTTCAGAATTAAAACATGTACGTTAAATGGTATTCAGAGAAGAATCCCACTTCTCCTCCTACATTTCTTCTGTGTCCCTTCAGATGACCCAGTCTATAACAGCACGTAGGATATACCGTTACTCCTTTTCCTTTTCCTACATAAGCCATATTAATAAACTGCATACCCTGTCCTATGCATTGCTTTTGTCACTCATCTTGGAGACCTTTCCATATTAGCAGATAGTGTCTTTATTCTGTGCGCTCAGTCGCTCTCTCTCGTTCTCTCTCTCGTTTTTGCATTGCATAGGACTTCACTGTCTGGATATACCACGATTCATTAAATCAGTGCCATATTGAAGAACATTCAGGTTGATTCCAGTCTTTTACTACTACAAAAATGCCGCATTGAATAACAACCTTGAACAGATGTCACTTCACACTTGTCCAGGGATGTCAGTAGGGATGATTTTCCAGAAAAGGAATTGCTAGATCAAAGGATCTGATTTAGAATTTTGGTAGCTCTTGCCAAATTCCACGCTGATGTACTCTCACACCAGCAGCGTTAGTGCCTCCCTGGCTGCCTTGCCGACGAGTGCGGTGGGGCTTTGTGCCCACGTGATCTAGGTGGAAAACGGTATCTCATTGTGTTTTTAAGGATGAAATGAGCATTTCATGTTTAAGAGCCTCTTGAGGTTTTTTTCTGTGAAATACCCATTCATATTCTTGGCCGATTTTTCTATTGCAGTGTTCTTGTTCTTAGGGATTTATAGGAACTCTAATATATTAGGGAGAATTCTCTTAGTTTATATGATTTGAAGTATTTTTTCCTGGTTTGTTTTTCTTAACTTACTGGGTTCTTTTCCCCCGTTTTTGGCTTCTGAGTTTTGAATAACATGGCATTCTTCACCATCCTAAACTTTGTATCTAAGCTCCATTTGAGGGGCGCCTGGCTGGCTGAGTCGGTGGAACACACGACTCTTGATTGCAGGGTCATGAATTCAAGCACCACATCAGGCATAGGGCTTACTTTAAAAAAATAAGTAAAATAAACTCACTCCTTGAACTTGCTGTCCAAACTAAAAAACCTGATAGATTCCCATAGGGAGGGTTGCTTGTATTTTGTGGTTTTCCTCCATGAATCAACTGTCAGGGTGATTGTGCCCCTCACTGCCCTACTTCTCCACTCCCCAGGTTTCCCATCGTACTGCATCTGTGAGTATTTTAGTTTCACTTCTAAAAGAAATAATTCTTTTCTTTTTTGACTTAATCTCATAACCATTATTACACTTAACAAAAAAAGGACAATAATTCATTATTATCGTTGAATATCTAGTCTGTTCAAATTTCCTGCTGTCTCCTAAATGGCTTGTTATTTATTTATTTTTTTTTACCATGTATTTGACTCAGGATCCATATAGTGTTCATAATTTGCAATTATTTGATAGTTTTTTTCTAAGTTTTATTTATTTTTAGAGAGAGAGAGAGAGAGAGAGCATATGTATGTATGCACGTGAGCCGGGGGAGGGGTAGAGAGAGAGGGAGGGAGAGAATCCCAAGCAGGTTCTGCACTGTCAGCACAGAGTATGACACAGGACTCAAACCCACGAACTGTGAGATCATGACCTGAGTGAAAATCAAGAGTTGAACACTTAACCGACTGAGCCACCCAGGTGCCCCAATAGCTTTCAGATCTCTTTTAATCGTAGGCTATAGATTATTCCTTCATCTCCCCCCCCCTTTTTCCCCCCACTTTCTTTTCAGTGTATTTGTTGAAAAAGCCAGGTTGGGTTCATCCACATTTTTCTATGGTCTGGACTTTGCTGATTGCACAGGAGCAGTTGTTTAACAGCAAGTAGGGTGAGGCGCCCCTGGTACCCTCAGCCCAGTTCCCTGGATATTTTTGCTTATTTTTCTGTATTCATTTTAGAATTAATTTGTCTTATTCAGGAAGAAACAAACGCTAGATTTTTAGTGGATCATAATTCAAGAGAATTAAGATCTTTTTGATGTTGAATCTCCTATCCAAAAACAAGTATGGCTTTTTGGTTGTTTTGAGTCTTTCAGTAGTGTCCTGTTCATTTATTTCTTTAAAACATATAAAAAAAGACATACGCTAAATTGCAAAAGTGTAAGGAACCTAGCAAATTACACAGTTACTAACTATTTAGGGGAGCATAGAGCTATTTAATAAAGAGATAAATGCTATGCAGCCTTTTCTTAAAAACTTCATGTGCATGAAATGTTTTTTGCAATTTCGGGGAAATTCTTAAAACTCTCCAAGTGTTCTAGGGAAAGAACTCCTGTAGGAGCATGAAATCAACAACTTCCATTTGCCCTCTAACTGATTATTTGATAACTACTTTCAAGACATCGTGTAGTTGTCGTGCTGTTTAGGTGAAAGACACTTAATTGGTAAACCTTTAACAAAGACAGGCATCAAGGAGCAGTTCAGAAAGAAAACAAAGGAGATAAAATAATGCCACAAGTTCTTTAACTTATGATGGCTATGATGTGGCTTGACATTTATCAAATATTAGAAGGTAATTGCTGACAATTTTGTAGAGACTTCGAGTTAATACAATTATTTAATTTAAAAAAATTTAATGAAAGATGGTATTGCTGGAAGTTTAACATTTTTGAACCATGTGTATGTGGTTTAATAAAGATATAGATGATGTAGATGATTCACGTATAGATAACGAATATAAATCATAGCATTTAAGCTCTGTCTCATAAGATAGCCATACTTCACGTAGGCTGTAATGTTTTCACATTTAACTTAAGAAACTCCTCATTATTGGGGTGCCTGGGTGTGGTTCAGTCAGTTAAGTATCTGACTTCAGTTCAGGTCTTGATCTCACAGTTTGTGGGTTCGAGCCCCACATCGGGCTCTGTTGCTGTCAGCGCAGAGCCCTGCTTCAGATCCTCTGTCCCCCTCTCTTTCTGCCCCAGCCTCACTCTCCTGTACTCTATTTCTCTCTCAAAAATAAACATTAAAAAAACAAAACAAAACAACCTTCTCATTTCTTTTTTTTTTTTTTTTAATAAAGTTTATTTATTTTGAGAGAGCACACAAGCAAATGCAGGCAAACAGGGTAGAGGGGTGGAGAGAGAGCCAGAGAGAGAATCCCAAGCAGGCTCCACACTGTCAGCAGAAAGCCCGATGCAGGGCTCAATCCCACAAACTGTGAGATCATGACGTGAGCCGAAACCAAGAGTTGGATGCTCAACTAACTGAGTCACTCAGGCGCCCCAGAAACTCATTGTTTCTGAACTTTGATTTCAGGGGTGCCTGGGTGGCTCAGTTGGTTAAACATCTGACTTCAGCTCAGGTCATGATCTCACGGCTCGTGAATTTGAGCCCTACGTCGGGCTCTGTGCTGACAGCTCAGAGACTGGAGCCTGCTTGGGATCTTCTCTCTCTCCGTATCTTCCCTTCTCTCTCTCTCTCTCTCTCTCTCTCTCTCTCTCTCTCTCTCAAAAATACCTAAACATCAAAAAAAATTTTTTAATAAGTAAATAAACTTTGGTTTCAGTATTCTGCTTTTTTTTTTTTAAGAGTAACATCTTTGGAAATCCTTTTAGACTGACATTTGTCATGGGTATAAGGAATTTTTAGCACTCTGTTTCTTAAAGCACAAAGAATTAGTGTCCATTTTTGTGATGCAGAGTATGAATGCTCTGGATAATTGTTGACATAAGACCATCTTATTCCCCACTAGCTGCTACTTTTATGCTGAAGGCATATTGTTACTTCAGTAGAGTCTGAAAGAAATTAATGTAATTTTGCTAAAAAGATGCCTCAAATGATAGTGTTTTCCAGTCTTCTCATGTTTCTTTACTAATAGGTCCTTAACAAAACTTAGTCATTGAAAACAGATGGTGTGGGGCACCTGGGTGGCTCAGGTAAGCATCTGACTTGGTGTCAGGTCATGTTCTCAGAGTTTGTGGGTCCGAGCCCCACGTTGGGCTCTCTGCTGTCAGCGGGGAGCCTGCTTTAGACCCTCCGTGTCTCTCTCTCTCTCTCTCTCTCTCTCTCTCTGTCTCTGTCTCTGTCTCTCCCCCACTCGTGCTCATCCTCTCTCAAAAATAAATAAACGTTAAAAAAAATTAAAACAGACAGTGTAGTGGTTTTGGCTTAAAGTTTTAAGTATGAAAGGATTAGAACTAATAAAATGTATACATTATACAGGTTTCCTGTCTCTGTACTGAGGAGACTTGAGTTTTTTCCCTACAAACAAATCTGAGTTTATACCTTTTCCATAATGTAGCAGCATAATGAGACCAGCCTGAGGGTCCCACGTTCTGGCTTTAACCCTACCTTCTGGGGGACCTTGGGCAAATAGCGTTCAGTGTCCCTATGCCTCATTTTTCTTACTGGGAAGGTAGACGTAATGCCAACAATCTCATAGAATCGTTTTGAGAATTTAAATGCTACACGTAAAATGCTGAGAGTACATGCTTGTGTGCCATCCATGGTAGACAGAGGAAATGGGCCGTGTTAGAAAGTTGTTCATTTATTTCAGTATCGTTCCCAGTACGAACCGTGAGCTCATGACCTGAGCTGAAACCAAGAGTTGCACGCTCAACCAACTGAGTCACTCAGCCAACCCAGAAACTCCTCGTTATTTCTGAACTTTGATTTCAGTATTCTGCTTTTTTTTTTTTTTTTTTTTTTTTTTTTTTTTTTTTTTTTTTTAAGAGTAGCACCTTTGGAAATCCTTTTAGGATGACATTCGGCACGGGTATAAGGAATGCCTAATGAAAACAGTTCCCATGACTTTATGGTTTATCTACTAGCTGTTATAAAAAGGGTTACTTTCCGATTATTTGCTGTGTACCTAGCATAGTGGTGAGATACACATTGTTTTACTTAATCCTCAGTTCATCTGAGGAGCACATGCTGATACTATTTTACGTTGAGGAAACTGGAACTCAGAGAAGTTCTATAATAAATTGCCCAGGCCGATGTAGCAAAGTAGTGATGGAGCCTTTCTCTCAACCATTATGGCATGCTGCCTCTGTTCATCTTGCTCCCCCGCTGCCTGGAATCTTCTCCTCTTTGATATTTTCTCATACTTGCTTTGTTCATCTTTATCGCTTTGTAATTTTATCGCTGTGTCGTGCACAAGATTTGTGAGCGGTTAGAACATAGTGTGGCCCGACAAAGTATGGCCAAAAGATGGGGTGGAGGTGTTGATTGTTTAAATGAGGAAGTCAAATTGTTAATATTTCAGAGTACAATTTGGAAGGTGTTAAGTAGGTTTATTTTAATGTTTTATTTTTTTATGTTTATTTTTGAGAGAGGGGGAGAGACAGAGCATGAGCAGGGGAGGGACAGGGGGTGGAGGGGGGGACGCAGAATCCGAAGCAGGCTCCAGGCTCTGGGCTGTCAGCACAGAGCCTGACGCGGGGCTCGAACTCACAAACTGTGAGATCATGACCTGAGCTGAAGTCAGCCCCTCAACTGAGACACCCGGGCGCCCCTTATTTCTTTTACTGTTTGTTTATTTTTGAGAGAGAGTGTGTGTGTGAGCAGGGGAGGGACAGAGAGAGAGAGGGAGACCTAGAATCCGAAGCAGGCTCCAGGCTCTGAGCTGTCAGCACAGAGCCTGACGTGGGGCTGGAACCCGCAAACCGTGAGATCACGACCTGAGCTGAAGTCAGACGCTTAAACAACTGAGCCACCCAGGCGCCCCTCTTAAGTAGCTTTTTTAATGTATGGAATATTTTATACACAGACACAACCTTATATTCACCACCCGGATTTAATGGGTGATCTTAACATGTTTGCTTCCCATGTCCTGCAGTCACTGTCACTGGTAGCCCGTTGTCCTGGTGGGTAGTGGAAATTTGTTTCGTGGTTGTGTGTGGATGGACACGTGATGCGTGTGCAGGTGTAGGTTATTTTTACTCTTCCGTGAGTTTTACAAACTGTAGAGAAATTAGATTCTTGCATGTCTGGTGCCGTGTGTTTGTGCACATGTAAGAAGGGTTGTCAGATACAAGGGAGCGTATGCTTCCCAGGAAGAGAATAGACAGGTCTGATGATAATCAGAAGCATGACGAGGTAACATGCACAGAATGAAAGAAAAGCCCCCGGGAACAGATTTACAACCCTGTGACCAACAGGGGACCAATATCCAAATTATACAGAAGCCCCGTAGTGAGTTCGTCATGTTTTCTGTTGTGTACATCAGATCACAGGTGCTCACTGTAACTAGAAGTGCTTACTGTCTGATCCATGAGTATGTGATACGGGAGTTCACTCGAGATTGGGACTGTCCATCTTGGGGGCTGTGAGTTCGAGCACCATGCTGCGTGTAGAGATTACTTAAGATCTTAAAGAAAACATCTCCCGGTATTACTGTGGATTTGTCCATCTCACTCTGTCCTTACGTTCATTTCTGCTGTATGTATTTCAGGGCCATATTTTATTAAATGTATATCAGTGCAGAATTGTTGTATTTTTCTGATGTATTATTTTTTTTATTATTTAATGATTTCTATTCCAAATTATGTGTGTTGAGTAAAAATCTATTGATCTGATGAGAATAGAACTAAATTAGCTTTCTTTTGGTTAATATTTGCCTTGTCTGTCCTTTCTCAATCTTTTGAACTTTTTTTTTCTTTTAAAACTGAACACCAAATCTGTTTTATTTTCCCCTTGGACAGGGTGTGACCATTCTAAACCTCAAATTAACTGCATTTTGGTTTTTTATATAGTCTAATGGACTTTCACCAGCCTAGCCTATTTGCATTTGTGGGGATCACTGATAAGCTTTGATTCATTCTTTCTTATTCTAGTACTTTCTATGTATTATGCTTTTTGTTTTTTGCCCACCCACCCCCACTCTTGTGTTTTCTTCCCTTTTTTCCTCTTCTTCTACTGTTTCGGAAGTTACGCGTTCTCTTTTTATCTTTTACTGGTACCCTTAAAATGTTTTTACATATACCTATAGTCCAGGTTAACACTGTTTCCTGCCTCTTCCTCCCTCTTCCTGATACTGTGATTTTACTTCAAATGTTTCTGCATGGCTGTTCCCTGTCTCATGTGTTCTGTGTCTCACATTTTGGTTCCACGTTGTTTCTCCACCCCAAATCTTAAATGACTCTTACTGTGTACGTATTAAAGCTTGCTTGCTTGCTTGCTTGCTTGATTTAGTAAAAAATTTTTTTGATGTTTATTTTTGAGAGACAGAGTACGAGTGGGGGAGGGGCAGAGAGAGAGAGAGGAAGACACAGAATCTGAAGCAGGCTCCAGGCTCCGAACTATCAGCACAGAGCCCGATGTGGGGCTCGAACTCACAAACCGATGCGGGGCTTGAACCCACGAACCGTGAGGTCATGACCTGAGCCGAAGTCTGATGCCCAACCAACTGAGCCCCCCAAGGCGCCCCTATTCCAACTTACTTACTTCCATGTTTACCATTTTTTTCGTTTCGCTCTACTGCCAGCCCCACACCTACCTCCTGCATCACTTGTGTTCACAAAGAATGTGGGGTATCTCCTCATTCAACCCCCAGTTGTAGAGATGAGGAGACCAGCGTCGCATGAGGTCGCAGTTGCAGAGCTGACTGTAGACCCCACACCGTCTGGCATCCCAGTCTCGTGCACAGTTGCCAGTGTTACTCAAACACTGGGGCTTACCCAGTGGGCATTTAATAACTCATAGAGGTGGCATTTCAGGTCGGTGGAAGAAAGTAAGTGTTGTTAAGGCAGATGGTTAGCTCTGCAGGGGAAGAGTTCGGCTGGACCTTAACCACAGTGTGTCCACGGCCCGGCTCTGGTGTGACCTCGGGCAGTGTATTTAAGCTCCCTCAGAACAAGAACACTGCCTGGCAGGATCCCCTGAGACTAATTAACATGCAGAGTGCTTAGCGTGGCGAGTGACACATATGCATCATCCGATAGAGGGACGTCGTTCTTGCTCATTTTCTCTTCTCCACCTACACGGAAGCCTAGTGTGTACTCTCCTAGGCCTGCCGTGCGCCCAGGACAGTGACCGAAGCTTACACGACTGGCTCGGCTGTGTAAGCTTACGTTGAGGAACGAGACTATTACGCTGAGTGTTGGGCTGGTAAACACAGAGCATTGCGGCCAAAGGGCAAGCGAGCGCCCGTGGATAGGTTTGCTGTCATGGACCCGGGACTTGATGTGGGCTGTTTGCCAAGAATGGTGAATGCAGTCCTGCAACTCAGGACCTTCCTAAGAGGCGCCAAGGAGAGTCCGACAGTGTTTGAGTGTCTGTTCTTCCCTCTCGCTTCATGATCTATCGAGTAAGGCTTTATTCAATACTCCAGTCATAATGGCAGTTCATGACAATTAGATTTCAAAACTCCAGGCTTTACGGCTAAAGGAAAAGTAGAAACAAAGTATTTTTGGATGATTTTCCTTCCATACTATTCCAACATGCTTAACATTCTTTACATGGAAGGACAGTGGCTGGATCGTGCTCTGCAGCACTTTTCACATTTGTTTTTCCTTGTGAAAGGTGGACAGGCACGTGGACCTGCTGGAAGTCGCCCAGGAGACGGACGGTTTCTCAGGCAGTGACCTGAAGGAGATGTGCAGGGACGCCGCCCTCCTGTGTGTCCGGGAGTATGTTAACTCTACATCGGAAGAAAGGTATCATCTCCTATTTCTCAGACTCTTGTAGACCTTTCAGGGTGGTTTCTGTTATTTTTCTTGACAGTACCAACTCTGCTTACGGTATAAAAGGTGAACTTGAATTAACTTTATGAACTGCCCTTTTTTCTTCCTAAAGGAAAGTTCTGAAAGCGAGTTGGGAACGGGGGTTGTGGGGAGGCTCTGGAAGGAAAAGGAAGAAATAGAAGCTGCACGTTTGCCAAAAATCCCCGCACTGGGTCACAGGAGGCCGACGGCAGCTTAGGCTTACTTACTCCTAGGAAAGAGGGTTCTCTAGGATTCCCGGACTGCTTTGCACTTGAAAGTCCTAGTTCCATTTCCTGTGCTCTTCCAGGGATTTCCCACGTGAGTGGGCCTGGGGGCCATTGCTGGGGATTAGACTTCAGTGTGTTAACAGTAATGCGTGTGCTAGACAGACTGTTGCCACTGGGGCAAACTTCACTCGAAAGCAGTTTCAGAGCACGAGTTTGAGAAACCAGCTCTGTGCCCGGCTATTTCAGCAGAGACGCTAGTGAGCCGGCTCAAGTCCGCCCCCGTGAACTGTGTCCTGCAAAGACCTTTCCCAGAAGGCCGCTTGCCCTGGGCCAGCCTCACACTGCGTTTCTAAGCCTCTTTTCAGAGTACTGACCTTCTGATGAAGAGTTTCTGTAACTCTTAGCACACTGTTGTACTTTGGGGCCTCATGTTGAATGAGTTCTCCGCCTCTGGCCCCTTTTTCTAAGGCCTCCTCCCTCATCCGCCGCCGAGGCTCTCACTCCAGGAGACCTGGATGTGCTGGTGGTGCCATGTTTTTAATGACGGTGCATCGCCATAGCAAGCTTCACCAAAAACTCTTTCGCTTGGTGTAGGAAGAAAGGTTAGCTATGTTTGCCCTAGTTCCGCACCTGCCTTCAGTGCTCCCTGGGGCCCCGTTATGGAGAGGCTCACTTCATTTATTTGTTGCTGGATTACTCCAGCTCCCCTAATGCTGATGCTGGGAATACTTTTGACCTCTGACCGGAGCCAAGAGTCTGCTTGCGAAAGGTTTTTATTCTTGTGTATAAGAAAATGAGGAGAGGAGGAGAAACAACTGATGAATACGTTTTGTGTGAATAAGTTACATTAATAAAGAAAGTCCTATTTTTCTGCTGTCCTCAAAGCCTTTGAAAATTTTATATGTCAGGATGAAAAATCTGGGTCTTAGACTTGGCTTATCGTAACTTTTTCCCTAAATGTTTTTTCCTAAATGTTTGTAAATTACAAGGAGACATTATATATTGGATTTTGTTTTTCTCATTATTGAATAGGGGAGGTTTAGGCTAGTTGGTTTTTATTAATAGCAAAGAATTTTATTTTTAGTTTGTCACATGCTAAATATGTACATGAATATATACCCAAGAATGCTACTTTTAATTTCAGTTTTCATGGGAATAATTTTTGATTCCTTGATGGGAATTCTCCGCCCACATAGATAAACTGCACACCTTTCTCTAATATTTCCACGTTGTGCCAACATTCTGCATTTGGTTCTTAGTGTGAGGTATTTGGTTTTCATGACCACATCTGCAACACTGAGTTACAGCCGGCCATTTTGGCCCCCTCCCTCCCAGCAGCCCGTGCTTCTAAAAACATCCTCCCCAGCTTGTGTCTGCACAGAAAATTCTGGAAGCATTCACATGAAGCTCATAATTGTGGCTGTCCTTGGGGGTCTTAGGTGGGACAAAGATTTCATTTCTTAATCTCAGGAGGATGTTTTTGGGAGGTGTATTTGAAAGTTATTTGACCATCTGGCGGTTTTGTCTGTGTCTTAGCCGCGATGAAGATGAAATCCGGCCTGTGCAACAGCAGGACCTGCATCGAGCGATTGAGAAGATGAAGAAATCCAAGGACGCCGCATTTCAGAATGTTTTGACACATGTTTGTTTAGATTAAGAGTAAAGATCATTTGTACAGTTCAGTGTGATCTAGTTTGGTGCACTCTTATCATCAGTGGAAATAGAATGAAAACAGGAATGTCCTTCACGCCGTGAGAGAGTTAAATGTTCACGACACTGGTTTTATACTCTGACTCCTAAGTTATTGAGATGTAGTTGTTCTATAAGCAGTGTTACTACTCGTCAGAAATCATGAGGAGGAACAGTCTAATCCAGCCTGAGTGCGGGCTCGCGTCTGACCTCTGTCTCCGGACGCTGCGGCCTCAGAGCATCTAAGCTGGTCTTAAAGTAACGATTTGTCGAGTCATTCGTGGAAACAGGGATGTGGGTAAGTGCTGGTTTCTCGATACGTACGTGAGTGAGTGAGTGTGTGTGTGTGCGCGCGCGTGTGTATTAAATGTATATATTCACACATTTTATATTGATATTCTGTAGATATGTTTGAATACGGAAACTTTTTTTTACCCCAACTACTGAATCAAAAAGTACCAAATAGTGTACAGCAGAACTAAGATTTCTGGTCGTGTGTAAAGGTACAGTGATTCAGCCATTTCCAGCTGTCACCTGTGTCCGCTTTCGTTTTAAGTTGAGCATTTCTCCGCAGTGGAATAGTCGGAGTCCGCCACGTCTCTGCTTCAGAAGGGGCTCCACTATTACGCTGGTCGAAAAATCCAATAAAAATACTTGATCAGTGATCAGCATTGAGTGGTTGTCAGGCATTTGGATGATCGACACGGATTTCAAGTCTTTCTGTAAGCACACTGAGCAGAGGCCTGTTTTCAATTGATCCACGTGAACGTGGTTGGAGGAGCCTTTCCAAATGGCTTTGAAAAACTACAGTGCCATGCAGTACACATCTGTGACTTTTCCTTCATTTGATGGAACGTAGTTCTGTTGTAACCATGGTTTTGTAATGTTATTTTAAAGTTATGTTTTTTAATTATGGTCAAATATAATTTGGTCATCAGAAATGAAATGATAGTTTAAAACAAGTAGCTGTTGCTAGCTGTGCTAAAAATACTCATTTTGTGACTTTGATTTTTAAAGTTTTCTTAGCATATTATAAATTGTGCCCTAGTTAGTACAGATACACACGTCAGAGTCCCATATTGTATCCATAGTCATTCGATGCTATGTGCCCTCCATAGGAAACATTTTTTTTTTTGTCCAGAATTTCACTAACCAGAATTCTGTTATAGGCCCTTAAACACACCGCATGAGGAAAATGGCACAATATGGTCTTGAGGTGCCTTCTGTGAACCATCTGAAAGATTAAATTATGCTCCATATATTTTTGTTTTTATTGTATTTCTTTGAAACTCTTCAGTCTTCATTCGTGAGTCATTAGAGTAATTTATTTGATAGTAGGTCTCTCACTTGAACCTGTTGGGGAGTTTATTTGGTTATGCGAGTAGCGGGTGGGTAGAGATTGCAGAAAGCACTCTGGACGACAAAAAGCAAGTTTCAAAAACTGTGAAGATGATTAAAAATTGACTGCAAAACACAAGATATCAAAAATAAAAAGTTTCGTCTCCCATTTTTAATAACTATATTACACGATTATTTTATAAACATGCAATAAAGAGGTCCCTCTTTATTAATTTTTCTCCACTTGGTCTTCTTCCAAAGTTACAAATCTTCTGGGGGTTTTTTAGTTTATCAGCTTGCATTTGGAGTGTTTTATCTTGCTGAGTAGCTTTCACACTTCGGTAGCATGCAATCTCATGTCTTATCGTTATTTTGCCTTAGGATGGATTTCAGTCATCATTTACTCTGATGGCAGACTGGTGTAAAAAAGAGGTGATCTATCTCTCATGTGCTTTCTTTTTATCTTAAATTCAGAGCATCCAGTAGTACAGTTACTAAGTTTATCATGGTTTTAATCACCACGTGAAGTTAGGTCCCGTCAACTGTGACTCATCCGGGCATCTTGGGGCCTTACAGTAGTCGAGGAACCTTTATGTCATTTCGGAGAACTTTTAGTGTCACAGAATCTGTGCTCGCTGTAGACGTGCACTTGACACAGGTCACTGGGCTCCAGGTTCCCGGGTATTCCCTCGTGGGTGGCAGTTACGCACGCCGGACGTGGAGTTGGACGGCTCCCTGGGGACGTCCAAGTGGCTAATCCAGGTTCCCCGTGAATTAACCCTCTGCCTGCGCACTAGTCCCCTAACGTCTCTGAGCCTCCGCTTCTATGAAATGGAGCTGCAGTGGCGCCCACCTACGGGGTGGTGTGAGGAGACGGTGCGTGTAAGGCGCTCAGCACCGGCCCCAGAGCAGTCCTCACTCAAATGTGGGCCGTCACCGTATTCGTTTCTTACTTTTACACACTGACGTGCGTATCTGTTGGCAGGCTGAAGTTTGGAGCATTCTCTCTGCTTACTCCACCTGCAGAATCCCCAGGCCCGTACTCTAGGGACGGAGATAGAAGTGATCACCTGTGTGATGCTTCTGACACCCTCGTCATTGGAAGATGGCTGGTGAGTCTGGTGTGTCTCACACTCTTTCCAGGCCTTTCTGTGGAGAGTTCGGGAACTCCATATTGGAAGCAGCTCAGTATCTTCTTTATGATTTCCTTTGCTTCTACCTCTCAGCTCCCAAATGCAGGACAACCCAGAACCCACCATGCTGTCAAGAGCTGGGTGGGTTCATGGAAATATGCCACGTGGACCAGAATGACCTAACATTACTTAGCAGCTGTACCTTAAAGGTTTGGTGTTCCAGGAGGATGGCTCAAGCCTTGAGTGCCTCCCTTGTTGACGGGGTTTTTTTTGTTTTGTTTTGTTTTTGTTTTTTTTACCGGCATTGTGTTGTTTGTAGGCAAACGTTACAACTTTCTTCTGGATAAAGAAACTAAAACAGATGATATTTATCTTTTAGCTTTTCTCAAGGTCAGAATATTGAATAGAATTCTGATATCCTGAGCATATATCCTGCCCTTGAAGCCATAGAATCATTCCATGTAGAGCTGACAAATCTTCAGAGGGCCTTCATTATTAAATATGTTGTAGACTAAGCTGTGAAACAGTTCGCTAATCTTGTCAAAAGTTAAAGCTCTGTTTACCCGTGTCGGTGGAAGTTACACCCTAACTCACCACTCCATGAAACTACCAAGAAGATGGACAGCACGGGTGCCAGATGTAAATGAGACCGGCCCTAAACACGATCACTTACTCATGTGAGTAAGAATAAAACATCCTTAGTAACACTGGTGTAACTTCTAACACTGTCAATACTAACAGCACATAAGGTCTCATTACTGAAACACTCTACTGGGGGCACTTGGGTGGCTCAGTCAGTTAAGTGTCCAGCTCTTGATTTTGGCTCAGGTCATGATCTCACAGTTTGTGGGCTCGAGCCCCGCGTCAGGCTCTGCACTGATAGCACTTGGGATGCTCTCTCCCTCCCTCTGCACATGTTCTGTCTCTCAAAAACGCATTTTATTCTAAACAGAACACTGGACTGGGAGTACATTTTTGTGATTGTCTAATATTTATAGTTCTCTGCTTGAGAATGCTTTTAGGTGTAAGTTGTTGGGCTTTGAAATACAGTTGCAGTGAATAATGTTCATGCTGGTGTGGAGTGTGTCATGATAGTTTGTGAGTTTGTGAGTCATGATAGTTCAGTTCAAAACCAGAGCCAAAGCTCTAGTTAAGTAATTACTGACATGCAAAACTTAGAACTGAGAATAGAACACTGTGTTGTGTTTGGAAGATGGATAGCTTCCAGAAATTCTAGGAATGACCAAGATACTCAAATGGGGGGTGGTGATGTATCATCCAGTAAAACAAATTCCTGGGGCGCCTGGGTGGCTCAGTTGGTTGAGCGTCCGACTCTTGACTTCAGCTCAGGTCATGATCCCAGGGTTGTGAGATTGAGCCCCTCGGCAGGCTCCGTGCTGAGCTCCGTGAGGAGCCTGCTTGGGGTTCTTGCTCTCTCGCTCTCTCTCTCTCTCAAAACATACCTTTGCAGACACATCTGAGGGAGACAGGCATTGTCTACTGGGCCATAGTCCTGGTCTTGTAAAGAGTACTGGTTAGGTAACCAGACAACTGACGTATGCAGCGAAGAATTCACTTGAAAGGGTATGGGGGAGCTCAGGAGCTCAAAGGGAAGTAAAAAACTGGACTTAGGGAGCATTCAGCTCTTTATCTCGGCTCAGGTCATGATCTCATGGTTTGTGGGTTTGAGCAGGTCTAATCAAGAATCCTGCTTGGGATCCTCTCTCTGTCCCTCCCCCACACTCGCTCTCTCTCAAACTTAAAAAAAAAAAGTAGACTTAGAGGACAGAAAGCTCCAGAAGGTTTTTTAACTGGAATTGTTCAAGAATCTTGCTTTTATTCCTCTGCTGGGTTAAATGAATCCTGTTTGTCTTTAAATTGCCCCATTCTTGAATCCCGGAAGTGAATCAAAGTCCTGGAAGTAGGTGTGCAAACCCAAGTCAAAGTCCCTGTCGGCAGCCATGGCGCTTTGAGAGAATGAGCCTCCAGGACCCCTGGCTTAAATGGCTTGAGGGCAAGGATCTGGATGTACCGCCTCCTCACGACTAAATGCAACAGAAGGCAGGATTTCAACCAAAGAAAAGTGAGTACTGTGGACCAGGTGGCTGGACAAACACATGACAAGGACCAGCTCATCGAGCGATACCATAGGTACGAGCCAAACGGAGGTGATCCTGTAACCGGAGGGGGCCTGTTGAAGTGGGAGCCGCCAACACTGTGGTTGCAGCGCACTGTGCACTGTGTGGGCACAGCCTTGTGGGGACCACACGCTCTACTCGCCCCTGCTGCCAGGGTGCCGCCTGGCTTGTCCAGCGTGTTAGCTGGGTGATGTTTAACTTATTCCTGACTTTGTTCCAGATAACAGGTCTAAAAAAAAGAACACTGGAGACAGAAGGATAATGTTGGGTTTTGTTTTATTTCCAAGGAACGCAGACCTCTTCCTCTGTGGGCAGTGAGGGTGAAGGCCTGGTCATCCCGATCCCAGGGCCCGGGTACGCTGGGTCTGGGCTGTCGCTTTCATAAGATGGGGTGGCCGGGCTTCGGCCGCCCCTGCCCTCTCCTGCAGCAGCCTCTTGATCTTAGCAGTATTGGAGATGGGTTGGGTGGGAGGTGTGAGGTTCAGACGTTCGTGGCCCTGTGGACTCGGTCCTGACAGGGTCCTGGCGTCCAGCCACCATGAGGACGCACAAGACTTGAGCTCCTCTTCCACCATTTGCTCTGCAGGATGCCGGGAAGGGGGATCATCTCGCCAGGCGGTTTATTTTTGAAGGTGATGTGTTTGTAGATTGCAGTCAGTGACGTGAGTCTTGGTTGAAGTCTCATCCCTGCAAAGTCTCTCCATCTAAGGCAGGCCTGCTTTTCCATACACTGCATCCAGACTGTGGAGTCTCCTCCCCCGTGTATGCACAAGCACCGAGGCGCCCCGCTCACCCCTGAGCGGCTTAGCTCTCTCCGGAAGGCAGTTGGCGAATAATCCTTGTAGCTACTGTTCTTTGCGAGCCTTGTAGAAAAACCTTATTTTTATTTCGCCCGGCTTTTTTCTTGCTGCCCTGGGAATGAAGGTCTTTCACGCCCTCCTACATTCTAGCAGAATTCTAACTCATGTGAAGTTCATTTCCAACTTTGTAGGTTTCAGTCCCAACCGTGAAACTTTTATATGTGTAATATAATTATATGTGTGTGTGTGTGTGTATATATATATATATATATGTGCCATATATATGTATGTATATATACATATATATACGTATATATGTATACATACATATATGTATATGCATATGTTTATGTATCCATACATGTATATATACATGTATGCATATATGTGTGTATACATACGTGTATACACACACACACACACACATATATGGCAGTATAGCCTTGGGCAAAATCTGTTTCCTTGAGCATCTGTCTCCTTATCTCTAAATAGGAATCCTAATGTATACCTCCTGGGATCGTTTTAAGAATCCTATGCAAATGCTTTGGAAGTTAGGAAATGAATATGTCCGCCGGTCATCGTGTGCTTAGGAAAGTCGTCTCCCATCTCCCATGTCCAGGCCTGTTTCCTTGTCTGCATGGTGATGGACGTGCTGAAATGGATGTCTTTACATCCGCATCCCAGCTCTCTAAGCCACACACTGTGGCAGCGGTGGCCATGTTGGCAGACAGATGCAGGGCCCACGGCAAGGCTGACCTGCCCATCAGGGCTCCTTAACAGGGCGGCCTAGTCAGCTACTGAAGGCTGTCAGCCTCGGTGAACACACTTGCTCTAACAGGCACAGATTACAAAATACGCCATTATGTAGGCGGGTTGGAGACACTTCTGTGTGCCTGGTGTTTGTGTGTACTAGACTTGTTTCCTTCCGGGACTCTGTTGTTGGAGCTGTAGCTCTCTCTGATTGTTTTATAGAATTCCTTTTCCCTTCTGAGGATAGGATGGGGGTTACAGCCTCTTTAGTGGTTCCTGGAATCAATATCTTCCATAAATGCAGATTTTCCTTGGTGAAGACACATGAAAAAGCCAGTCTCTTAACAAGTTTAAAATTCCAGG